GAAATTGGCAATTTGTGTAGTGATTTTCTAAGTTCCATAGTTTGTCATAATCATTAAAACATCATTAGGCCTATTCCTCATTAGTTTATTCGATTTTTACTCAATTTTTTTTTGCTCACCTGTTTCTCTTGTTTTTCTGCATCTATTTTAAAAAATTTTTGTTAAGGAGATGACTTAGCCTTTAAGTATGACATAACATAGAGAACACTATTTTTTCCGATCCAGCCTGCATTGGCATTGTAAAATGCATTCAAAATTCTGGGGGAAATGTAGGGGCATAATAATACTGTTGATTTTTGAACAGTATAGGTCCATAAGGCTGTTGTTTGACGATGTTTAGTTTGTCTTCATGATGCACAAAGCATCGAAATATATATATTTTGTGAAAAAGCTAATGAATGTACAATCATGAGAATGGTGGGAAAATAATTAACATCACACCAGTCCTAGTATATCGGAGTTGTCGTCTGAAAAGGAAATTAATTGATCTTGCTTATCATAATTAATATGGCGGCTTTTTTTCGTTTTGTATATTGTTTTTCAATGATATGCGATAAACTCATCAAAGTGAGACGACATCAATGAATATAACTGTATTTTCAAAGCATATACACACTCGGATAAATTTTGTGATAACAACATTTAAGAGGGTACGTGTTATAGTCATTTGTTTAATAAAATAGGTGTACCTGCCCTGGGTAATTGCTCGCTCCGACGTTCCCGTAAATGTTTTGCTTCCCCAGCGGTGCACTTCCTCGCTTGGTTTTGAATGGTTATTCAGTAATGAGCCTCTGTGTTAACATGAAGCTAAACATTGTTCAATGGTTATAGCTCCATGGTACTTTAATGTATAATCAGCATCCTCTTCTTTCCCTGCTCATCTCCCACAACTTTCTCTTTCTTTCTCCTTTTCTCCCTCTCTTCCTAATTCCCTACCGTCCCCCTCTTTCTCTCTCCTTTCTCATTTTCTTTTTCCCCTTTCCCCTACCTACTAATCGATCTTTCGATTAAAAAAAAAAAAAATCAGTTATAGGGCCTTATCAGGGGCGGATCTTGGGGGGGGGGTGGTTTGTTTCGACAATTTAACCCCCACCCCCCTCCTTGGGGGCGCCAAGTGAAGAAAAAAAAAGAAAACAGTAAAACGGCGCGATTTTAGGAGAGAAACCCCCCCAAATTGGTCCCCCCCCCCCCCCCCCCCCCCCCCCCCCCCCCCCCCCCCCCCCCCCCCTTAGCAAAAAGCTAGATCCGCCCCTGACTAATCCATTAGAAAGCGCATCTTCCTGGATAAACACAATTAAGAAGTAAAGTATACGTTTCGTACACATGGGTGTGTTACCTTCAATCGCGATGTCTGCGCTGTAGATTGTCAATGCATACACAACGATTCACATACAAAATGTATAGACCTACACCATGTTTTACTTATGAATATTCACATCGTCTAATTTCTCGGACTATAGATGGCGCTATACCTGTTTCTCATGGAGATCTCTCTGTTAGCTGTTTGGTCATTATCAAAGGTGAAAATGGGGCACCCACCAGGGATAAAAAAAAAAAGGCACTTATTTGAATGGAAAATGGGCATTTGTCGATGGAAGGGAGGCAACCATCATATTTCGATAGGGGCATATATGAAAAATGGCACTTATGAGAATGAAAAATGGGCACTAAAAATAAAGGGAAATGTGCGTTTGTTGAAAGAAAAGGGGCACCGATCAGATTTCAATAGGAGCATTTATTGGAGGTGAAAGGCGGCTTTTATGAAAAAGGGAAGAGGCACTTATATGAAGGAAAAAGAGCATTTATTAGGAAGGAAAAGGGGCACGTGTCAAAATAAAAGGGGCTGTTATTAGAGATGAAACGAGCACTTATCAGGAGGAAAAGGGGCACTATTCAAATCAAAACGAGTAACTATATTTAATAGGGTCATTTACCAGTATGAGAATGAAAAGGGACTATTTTCAGAGGTGAAAAGGGGCATTTATGAGAAAGGGAAGGGCTCTTTCTTAAATGGGGCACTTATCATAAGGAAAAGGGCACTTATTAGAAAGGAATGGGACACATGTGAACATATAAGGTGCGCTTATCCTAGTTGAAAAGGGGTAGTTATTAAAAGGGGAAGGGGCACGTCTAAGATTTGAATAGGGCAATTACCAAAAAAAAAAAAATACAACTCATAAGGGGGGTTCTAAAAAAACATGCACATAAAAAAAACTGAAGGGGGGTTAACGCCAACAACCCCCCCCCCCCCCCCCCCCCCCCCCCCCTCCCTCCCCCTCTGTGTACGCGCCTGGTTGTATGCAATGTACCTTCAATTATTTGTGTTGAATACTTATTTTGGTAACACCTGTGAATGATGGAGAAAATAACACAAAACCCTAACCCTAGCCAACAGCGCTTTAGCAATGCCATCATTATGATAGTATCGATAGCTAACCCTAACTGTATACCAAGTTTATTAAAAGTGAAAGCTCCACAATTTTATATGGATTTATTAGAAGATTGGGTGAATACGAGACATAATATAAGGAGTATAGACATTGGTGATGTGGTAATTTTTAATAATAAACTTATTGGATATAAAGGAAGTTGTAGTATACGATAAGAGGTTGTATGACAAAGGAATTTACAAATTAAAACATATTCTGGAAAACGATGGTAAACTCAAATGTGACAGGCATTTTATCGATTTAGGTGTTGAAGTAAATGAAATTGAAAAGATCAAGCACTTTTATGCCTGTTTACCAGTTTGTTGAAAAAATAATTTTAGAAAGGGAGAAGAAAAAAATAATTCTGGAACTGATTTCACTTTGGGGAAGAAAACAACTAATATAGCTGATCTAAAATCAAAACAAATTCATGTACAATTAATAAAGAAAGATGATTTTAAACCTTGGTTTTTGAGAGAATTGGAAAGAACTATGGTTTTTCCTGTAAGGAAATAGAAAACATATTTTTAAGACTAAGACAGTGTACACTTAACAGTCGATAGAGAGTTTCAGTTCAAACTTATACTATACAAACCATCACCTCTTCCGTTTTGGTCTTGTCTCGACTAACTTATGCTCATTTTGCGAAAAAGATGAAGAAACATATAAACATTTATTCTATACTTGTGAATTTGCACAATCAGTGTGGGGAATGTGCACGAGATTTTTAGACTTTGAAATAAGTAGTTTGGAGGAAATTCTGTATATGGGAAAAAGGAGAGAAATAAAGGAAAATATCAATTAATGAATCATGTTTTAATTCTTGTTAAATATCTGATTTATAGAAATAGAGAACTTAAAAAACCACCCTCTTTTAATGAAATAAAGAGTAGTATAATAGGGAATAAAGTAGAAGAAAGGAAATTGGCAGCAATGAGGGGAACTCTCACTAATCATTTTTCTAAATGGCAAAACCTGAGTATTAGACAAACAATTGGAACCCAGAGCCATGCAGTCGTCCACGAGGGGGGGGGGGGGGGGGGGGATAAGGGAGAGGTCGGGTAGGGTAGGGTAGGGTTAACAAAAAGAGAAAACTTTTCTCTCAGGACAACAGTATAAAAGAAGTATAAGTTGCTACATTGTTAAAACAAAATTTTTGGATTATACAACTGCATATGTTTTCTTTGAAAATATGAATTTTTGTTTCAAATATGATGTATAGGAACTAATTATGTAAGTTTCTTTTGAAGCCGTTTGTAAGACAAAAATTTATACTGATTTATGATGTCATCACATTTGCAGTGAGCGTTACATTATGATGAATGTAATTTGTACTATGATTATAATTTGTTTCAAGAGAGAAAAGAATAAAAACTGACCATAAAAAAAAAAAAAAAATGGAGCCCGGCCGTAACCCTATAGCCCGTAACCCAAACCCTAATTGTACCCCTAACCCTTGCTACAGTACGTAGGTGTAGATGCATTGCTCGTACGAAGTGCTATGAGTAGAGATATGTGCGTTGGCTGAATGGTATCGATAGCTAACCCTAACTGTAGCCGGCCGGCCGGCCGTAACACTATAGCCCGTAACCCTAACCCTAATTGTAACCCAAACCCAAGCTATACGTTGTAGATGCATTGCTCGTATGTAGTGCTATTAGCAGAGATCGCTGCGTTGGCTGAACAACGATGTGATGTTATCGATAGCTAACCCTAACTGTAGCCAGGCCGTAACCCTAGCCCGTAACCCTAACCACAATTGTAACCCAAACCCAAGCTATACGTTTTAGATGCATTGCTCGTATGTAGTGCTATTAGCAGAGATCGCTGCGTTGGCTGAACAACGATGTGATGTTATCGATAGCTAACCCTAACTGTAGCCAGGCCGTAACCCTAGCCCGTAACCCTAACCACAATTGTAACCCAAACCCAAGCTATACGTTGTAGATGCATTACTTGTACGTAGTGCTACAGTAGATATCTTTGAGCTGGCTGAACAACGGTGATGGTATCGATAGCTAACCCTAGCCCTAATTACCCCTAACCCTAGCTATACGTATATGTAGATGCATTGTTCGTATTGGTATAGATCTTTGCATTGGCCTTGGCTGAACAACGATGTTATGGTATCGATAGCTAACCCTAGCCCGTAACCCTAACCCTAATTGTAACCCTAGCCCTAACCGTAACCCTAGCTATACGTATGTGTAGATGCATTGCGCGTAGTGCTATGAGAGATATTTGCGTTGGCTGAACAACGATGTGATGGTATCGATAGCTAACCCTAACCGGTAACCCTAACCCTAATTGTAACCCTAGGCCTAACCCTAGCTATACATGTATGTACATGCATTGCTCGTACGTAGTATAGTGTGCTAGAGATGGAGCGTTGCGTTGGCTGCGCTGACCAACTAGTCTGCAGGCACAGACCCTAATTTGACACTTAATCAAAAAATCATTGTGCCTTGACCAACGGTCAGTAGTAATGTGCGGTGTATTCTCCCGGGGTGGCAAAGATAGAGTGAGAGAGAGGGAGAGAGAGATACGCAGTTTTTAAACTGTATTTTGCCCTTTTTATCAACAAACTTTCGAGGGTGATGGCACATGCAACAACGACTGTGACACCCAACACCCCACCACGGTTTTTACTGGATTCTCACGCGTACGCCACTGCATTGGTTCTCCGTGCCATTCTACACCGTACACCGTACAACTGTATGACATGCTACGCACATTTTGGAAAGTAGTTTATCTTTTGATGTGATTATCTTTAGTATACTTCCTTATCAACGTTTGTAAACATTCACGCCGCTGCAATGGGAACCGCAATAATGGACGAATCAATCAAGACACAAAAGGTAGTGTTTCTTCTTGACTTCTTGCATTAATAATCATTTAAACGACATGTAGTTTGTATCTGTGTTATTCTACTTCGTACTTGTATGTTTATTCACAATTAAAGTGATAGATCATTCATTTAAATTGGCCGAGACAAGCTGAGGTTTGATGGCTTGCGCTTGTGCCGTTGCCTAGGCCTAGCCGTGTAGGCCTAGCCTACGTACGTGTAACCCCCGATCGCGTCGGGGCCGGGCCGGGCTATGGCTATGCAGACGTTCGCGTTCGAGGCCGAGTCCGTAAGGCTTGCTTGATTAGATAGAATAACCGTCTAGTAGTAGTAGTAGAATGGTTTTTTATTAGACAACTTCAAAATGGTAGCTCGAAAGCTAAATTACATTGCAAGTTTTACATGTATTAAAAATCATTTCAACAAACTTAGATAATATGGACAAGTACACATAATACACAGTCGGTTAGATCATAACTAATTACATATTCCCTACTTACAAACAAATTGATGAAACAAATAAAATAGATTCGGCGTTACTTTTTTTCTGTAATCATTGTTAAGTGAGGAATATTCATATTTTAAATATAAATTGAGGCTGATTAATGGAGTTATAACAAGTAAGTACTGAAGATTTGTTTAACTTCGAACCGTAATGCACATTGAATGTCTATAAAGCTACACAATATATAAGGATTTATCATAGAAACATGATTAAACAATTACCGAAAGGGAGAGAAAAGGTTAGGGAGAGAACGATGTAGAGAGAGAGAGAGTTAAGTTAGAAAGAAAAATAGGAAGACATGCGGAAGATGGGAGAGGGAGAGGGAGATAGGGAGGGAGTGGAATGAGAAGAATGGAACAGTTGGAACTGTGAAGACATGGAGAAGCGGAATGATGATGAAAGTAAGACGACAAGGAAAAGGCGATTAGAAAGAAATTACAAAGTAAAATACAAAGTTTCCCTTACAGAGAAAAACAGTACAATTTACCAATCATGCATTACTAAGACAATAACATAATATATGCGTAAAAACTTTAAATATGTAAAGACATAGAATGTACATGGGAACGTGCGTAACTATAAAAAAAATATATTCACTAATTAATCAGTTTGACAGTTAAAAACACAAGTGTATCCATTAATTACAATGTGGATTACATGCACTAATCTTTATGAGTTGATGGGTATAAAGTTGAGCAGTATTAAAAGCAACAAAAGGCATACGATTTGAATAAGAGGTGTGGAATCGGGCAGGAATCAGGGGAATTTATGCGTTGTTGAGTAACCTGGTGAGATATGGGACTGGGCTTTTCCTGTAACGTTCTGTTTTGGACTTAGGTTCTATACAGATACGTGATTTCCGTGTGGTTCTGGTGCTGGCGTTCAGTTTAAACCAGTCTGATTGGTCGGATTTCAGTGCTTTCAGGGCAAACTTGAGACATAGCTCTTCTCGGCGAGCATGGAGAGTTTGAAGCTTGGTCATTGATAGGGCATTTGAATAGGATATGTAATATCTACCTAGTATAATTCTTAATGCCCGTTTTTGAACATTTTCGATCTTGTTGGACTGGGCGATAGTCAATGCTCCGTTCCAGGCAGGGCAGGCATATTCGAGGAGTGGTCTTACAAATCCTATGTAAACTGTAACGAGGTCGTTGGTGGGGGGATCGAAGGCTTTCAGGGATCTTAACATGAAAATGCGGCGGTTAGTCTAGATCTAGTATGGGTCATTCTTTAATAAAACTGGCATTTTTCAACATTCCCCATACACAGGTGAGAGCGGTGACATGAATGGCCTTAAAATAAAGTCGATCTTACTAAAGTCTAGACTAGACCCTAGTCTTTTTGAAACACTAAGAGTAAGACGTTACCCTCGATCTGACTTTATTTCTATCTTCATCTATTCTTACCCAAATACCAACACCACCAGCATCATCAATATCATTGTCATCTAATTTGTCAACATCATCTTTATCATCATCATTATTATTATCATCTTCTCTGCCTCTTTCTCTGTAGCTCATTGAAGAGCTGATGACCAAACAGGGCTTCAGAAAAGATATTGATGTAATAATAGAGCTGTATGTTACCAACCAAGGTCTTCAGGGAAAAGATTAATATTTATTTTTCGGGGGCTACTTTTCAAGCTTGCCTGCATGAAATTAACACTCTAAAATTTGTTTTGCAATGAACTCTATGCAAATTTACAGGGGCTCTTTTCTGATTTTCGGGGGCTTTTTTTAGCATTTCGGGGGCTAATTCGCCCAGAGCCCCCGTGTATTTTTTTCACTGAAGGTCTTGCAGATTATTATTATTATTATCATCACTATTATCATTAATTTCTTTGTCTCTCTCTCTCTGTCTGTCTGTCTGTCTCTCTCTCTCTCTCTCTCTCAATCTCTTTCTCTCTCTCTCTCTCAATCTCTCCCTCTCTCTGTCTCTCTAGCTCATTGAAGAGCAGATGACCAAACAGGGCATCCGGAAGGATCTTGATGTAACAGAGCTGTATCTCAGCAACCAAGGTCTTACAGACGTGTGTGACTTTGGACAGTATCGTATGCTAAACAGGATATGGCTAAACGGTAACAAGCTGAGACGGATAAATTGCCTGTCGATAAACTACAGGATATCAGAGTTATATTTACAGGTAACGGTCAAACAATTTGCAGCTGAATATTTGAGTTTTTAAAAAACATTCACATACACGTAAGCTGATATAAAGTGTTAAAACTGTGTTTGAATGTTTTTTTTATTAATAGTGAACATATCAAATGCCTGTTATATACATAAATAAATCTAGGATAACAGAGTTACCGGTATATAATCAGGTAACAATCAGTAATTAGAGGCTGAATATTTGGATATTTTTTAAACATTCACATTTAGAACATGTTATAAACTGATTTAAGTGTTAAAACTGTGTTTAAAGGTAAAGACCAGTATTGGAAACGCCACAATTTCAAAATATGAAATGGAAGCTCTTATTTCCAATCATGTGAATGAATATGTTTTGACTAATACATGATGATAAAAATTTTGCCGGGAAATCGCCTACTAATTGATATATTTGTTAAATTAGTTTATCTATTGGACATGTCGCGCATGTTTTGTAGTCCCATATATATCTTTATTTGTACAGTGCTTGTAACTTTACGAAGACTGGGCCAAATTTCTTATCATTTTGATGATTCCAGAACCTTGCAGTATACACCAATACTTATATGCTAGATGATCAACCTTTTCTGATTGATTCCACAACGTTTCTTTCACAATGCAATCGCATGACCATAACTGGTCTTTATCTTTAAACTTTTATTAGGCCACCTTTTTTTTTTAATTAGGAGCTTCTCTCCTTTTTTTTGCGATTTTATAGAGACGTGAAGATTACTTTCTCTGATTCTAATGATATATATATTTTGAGGACCCTTTGATCTCTTTTCAGAGCTGCGTTTTACTCCATCTAAATTAACAAATGACTCTTTAATTTATCATTTGAATACATATATATTTGTTTTTTTCTCAGGACAATGAATTAGTCAGTGTAGCTGGACTTCTCCAGCCGTTGACCAGTCTTCAAGTGTTAATGTTACATAACAATCAGCTGACTGATCTAGAGGAGACCGTCAATGAAATGAAAGCCATGCAAGCATTGCACACACTCAGTGAGTCTCACATTTCTCATCAAGCTTTTGTTTTATTTCAGAAGATTGCATACCTTTGTCCGTTTTGTCCTTTAATCCAGGAATTGTTCAAAGGTAGAATATTTTCCCTTTGATACCCTATTGCCATTTATTATTGCCACACTTTATTTAAACATTTGAAAAATCACTATTTTTGATTATTTTGCCTTTAAAAAAAAAAAAGTTTCCAGGAGGGTTAATTTTGAACATTTTTATAGTTCATGGAAGGGGTGATCTGGCCATCTCATTTTTTTAAATTTTTTTTTTTTTTTTTGGGGGGGGGGGTGCTTAAGGGCCAGTCGATTTGTGGTCTGAGGGCCGGTTGATATGTGTCTTAGAGGTTGAAGAGGTCGGTCCTATCAACATTTTTCTACTGGATAGACAGATTTGTTCTTACTAGAGTTTTTAATATGTTAAAGAAAAATAACCAACAACCAGTGTAAGCTTTTGTTCAAAATTGAGTTAAATAAAGGAACTAAGGAAGTTACTCTGAGGTCTAAGTTATCTTAGACTTAGTTGGATTTAACTGAATTAGTAGAATACGACCTAGTAATTTAATTTGATTTTAATAGTTCTAATGAATTTACTATACAGGCTGTACATTCGTATAAGAGAATCATTTACTGATACATGCTCTATTCATCAAAAAAAAATTGGATTTACTATCAATTTTCAGACCTATCCCAGAATCCTTTGGCACAGGAAGCAGAGTATCGGCATTACATCATTCACCACGTACCTTCATTAAAACTCCTAGATAGACAAGGTAGGTGATTATTAAAAAAAAATTTATGGTGATGCTTATATTACCTGACTGCCAAGAAAGCAACAAATGCTTGTTAGTAAGCAACCAGAGGACCGACAGCTTTAGGTCCTCTCCGAGAGACCTGGTAATTAAGATTAATGCCTTACCAAAGAGCACTAGCGCATTGCCTTGGTTTTGAACCCAGGTTGCCGGATTACGAGACCACTGCTCTACCAACTGAGCAATCGCGCCTCCTTGAATTGCCCCCACCCCTTCCAAAAAAAAAGCCACCATGAATTCCCTCGAATTGCACCTCTCCTACTAGATTTCCATAGACTTATCTCTTTTGATTGGCTATGTACTACAGAGAGATTAGAGTTAGGATAATAGGAGACCTCTTTTCTTTTGACTTTATTTCACAATCCTGCAATGTTCAATGTGTTCATTTTTTCCCCCAGCAAATAAGGATTATCCATTGTGAATCTGAGAGTCCGCAGTTTCAGGATATGACTCAAACATTCTTTATGACATATTTGAATTCATTCAAGATAGATGAGTAAATTCAATTCAATTCAATTCAGTTAATTTATTTTGCCTCTTTCAATCGTTCATATTTACAATAATGGTATATTTTAACATATTCACATATTTATATACATATAGATCAGACAGAGATCTAAGAAGAAGGAGAAAATACAGAGGAAGAAGATGGAGAAGAAAAAGAAGAAGAAGAAAAAGGAAAAAAAAAGAGAAGAAGCAATGACGTGCAACATCTGCATGAAGTTTACAAGTTTACACCTTCATTTGCCCTGTATTCCTACCATATCATAAATTTCTCTCTTGCATTGATTGTAATGCATTATTATTGATTGACAACTCTATTTCTGCAGTTTACAAAATTCTGAAAACTGTATGTATCTTCCCGTTTTCTCAATGTTAGAAATATTAAAATCAGAGAGAGACGAAGCAGCCAAGATGTATCAGCAAGACCGCCAGTCCCTCTTGGAGACAATCGCGTTTGGACACCGGTGTGAGGGCCCCGCCCAGAGGGCTAAGGACCAGGGCGTGGTCAGCGAGTCTAGACACTCCTTCTCCTCCAGCACCGTGTCCGACGGAGAGGTGGCTAACCATTTCATCAGGTAGATATCAAAGCAGGGTCCAGGGGTGTTTCACAGAGCTTTTTTCAATGACAAATGACAAAAATCAGTGACAAATCTGCTGATAACCAATCAGAAACAAGGATTTCAGTAGCTTATAACAGAGACTGTCATTTGTCACTGATGACAAGTTTTGTGAAACACCCTCCAGTGTCATCAAACTTACTATCAATTACAAGGTAAACTATTACAGTTACTGTTAAAAGCTACTGAAATCATGGCATTTGATTGGCTGAGAGCAAATTGCATAGCAATTTAGTATTGGTCGTTGAAAACAAATTTCATGAAACAGGGCCCAGGGCCCGTATCCAATTCAATACTTAAGTACAAAATTTAAGCTTTTTACTAAGTATTTGGCTTAGATAAAATACTTAGCCAATTCTGGTATTCAATTCAAACTTTTGGCTAAGTTTTTTACCCTGAATTTAAGTCAGCTCCCTACCAGACTTAGGCCAATTATTTGGAGGTGTTGATTGGAAGTCTAAAATGTGATTTGAATACGAGGTAAGTAAATTACTTAACTTAGCCATTTACTTAGTAAATTTCTTACTTATGCTAAGTATTGAACTGAATACCGGTCCAAGTGTCTTCATTCTCCTTCCATTATTCAGGGCTTGACACTAACAGGTGCCCGCCACACATGGGTGCCCAAAATGTAAGCCTGGACCCCCAAATGTAGCGGAGGCAATATTACATATAGGGCTGATACGTACAGACTCTTAGGCCCGAATACACAAAGGAGGTTTGTCAACAAACCAAGGTTTATGTGCGTCATACGACCCGTTTCGACGCGTTTTTACAAACCTTGGTTTGTAAAAAACAAAAGGAGGTTTGTCCTTTGTGAATTCGGGCCTTAAACTTTCAATACAGACCCCCTTCCAAAAAAATTAGTGTGGAGCCATGCTTCGTTATCTCTCTCTTCTATCATCCCCCCCCCCCCCCCACAATCATCCCTATCCTCTCTGTCAGTCGATATGTATATATGTCTTCCTCCCTCTCCTTCTATCTATTTATCTTTCTCTCCATATGTTTGTCTATCATTTTCCCTCTTTCCATCTTTCTCCATCCCCCCTTTTTGCTCTTGTTCTCTCTCTCACTGATACAATCTATCTTTCTCTCTGTATCTATCAGTTTGTCTATCTTTCTCCCTCTCTCTCTATCATTTTCCCTATTTCCATCATTCTCCCCTCCCCCTTTTTGCTCTTGTTCTCTTTATCTCTTTCACTCTCTCTCATGCTCTCGCTGTCTCTCTCTCTCTCTCTCTATATATATATATCTCTCTTTCTCTCAATCTCTCTCAAAAACTCCTTATGATGTCCCAATTGCAAAATTTCTTGCTCCCCCATTCTCATCCTCCCCTCTCTCTCTCTCTCTTTCTCTCTCTCTCTGTGTATCGAAAACTGGTCATTGATCCCAATTGAAAAACATTCATGCTCTCTCATTCTCATCCTCCCCCTCTCTATCTCTCTTTCTCCCTCTCTCTCTATCTTGCTCTTTCTACCTCTCTCTCTCCAAAATTACTTATTGATCTCCAATTGAAAATGTTCTTGCTCTCCTATTCTCATCCTCTCTCTCTCTCTCTCTCTCTGTCTCCTTTCTCCAGCCCTCCCCGGGGGACGCCTGAGGATGCCGTAGCAGAGAGGGCGGTGCAGCGATCCATCATGGAGTATTCACACTTTGACTGGACCAAGAAACCTCGCGCAGAGGAACGAAGAATGAACAAGAACGTAGAGGGTAGCAAGACTGAGATCATTACTGTGAGATTTAGGTAGCGATGGCAGCGGATATGACAATATATGAATAACATCTTGAGCTGTAAATTTTCATTTCCAGTAAAATATTTAAAACAATTTGTTGTGGCTGTCGACAAACATTAAGAATATTTGAATTTCGAAAATGGATCCCTTGATACCCCCAGTTTGTGTGTAAGAAACCTTATTGCCGTAAAGTTTAGATGGTATACTGCAGCAATGGAAAAAGAATTGACCTAGAAAGGTTACTGCTGTTATATCTGTGGTAAAAAGAAGAAATACTGTATTAGCAAAGTTCTCTATCTCCCAATTTATAGCGCACTGCAGTTGCTTTAATATGGTATTGATTTGAGAATGTACAAATATATTTTTTATTTTCTTAGTGACATGTATGCGTATTTAAATACCCTCATGAAAGGATCTTACATTTGTCCAGGGGAGTGTTTCACAAAGACTAAGATCGACTTTAAGTTAATTGTACTTAAATATGACAGGCCATTCGTGTCACTAGTTCCTTTAACCATTCCTGGCATTGGTTTCTCAAGGGACGTATAAATCGTTGTTACAAATCTAAAGGAAAAATATCGTTGTCACAAATCTAAAGGAAAAATATTATCTAAAAATCATTATTGAGAGACCATTAGTGAGAGAAACCAGTTTACATGAACAGCCTGCCATAGTTATGCCCTACTTCAAGTCGATCTTAGTCTTTTTGAAACACTCCCCTATTCTAGTACTCGTTGTAGTTTGCTACATCAAGGAAAAGATATTGTGGTTTAGTTTCACACAATATTGCCATGGCTTAGCTGCATGTTATTTTTGTTAAGTACAAATAAATTTGATTCCATTTGTGAGTCTAGTAACAAATGATATAGAATCCAACAATGAAAAGCGTAGTACGCTTTACATCATTAAAAAAAACACTTGGCAGTTTGAAAGGGCATATGGGATGAAGACTATAATTAATCTTTTATATGTGTGCTATTTTTATCAGTGAAACAAATGTCACTTTAACAATATTAAGAGAGCTTGTGAATATCTTGTTAATGGGATTGAAAATATCTATACTGGTAATAAAGTACATTGTATTCTTGACATTTATGATTTATGTCTTGAAACATAACCCTGGCAATTTGATGGGGCGTAATGGAAGAAGGCTACAATTAAACTTGCATGTATGTGCTATTTTTGTCAGTGAAACAGATGTCACATTATTAAGAGACCTTGTAAATATCTTGTAAATAAGATTGAAAATATGTATGATAAAGTATTCTTGAAAGTGAAGCCATCTTATCAGAGAAATATCTTTTTTTTCATTGTGTCACTATTTTTTTCGTCCTTTCACCACCCCTTCCCAAACAAACATATTTAAATTGAATGTGAATAATTGATATATGGATTGGGAGGGGGGGGGGGGGGGGGGGGGGGGGCTAACCGCTATGCATGCAGTTTCAATACAGATCCCCCTGGACAAAACAAAGCAAATGTGGAGCCCCATCTATCTCCATCTCTCAGTATTAACCAAGCTATATCTCTCTCTATCTCTATGCACCAAGGCTTCCTTTCCCAGATACCACTTTCCCTCCTGTTCTTGGTTATTACTGCACATCTCCTTCTCCGTCTCTTCCTTTTTCTCCCCCCCCCCCCCCCCCCCATTTCTTTCTCACTTCTTCTGTCTCTCCCTTTCTATTTCCCTCTCCTCCACATTTCTGTCTCTTTCTCCCTTCCTCTTTACATTTCTTTCTGTCTCTTCCTTCCTCTTTCCCTCTTCTCTACACTTCTTTCTCTTTTCCTCTCCTCCACATTTCTTTCTCCTTCTCCAAATTTCTTCTCTTCCTCTCCTCTACATTTCTTTCTCTCTCTTCCACATTTCTTTCTTCCTTTCTCTTTGTCTCCTTATGCTACTTTCTATGATCACCCATGAATTGCAAATAAAAGCAATAATTATATTTCCTCTTTTTTTAATATCAAAGCTTGTTTTCTTTACTGTTTTGTTTATAATTACAAAAACACACAATTCAACTCTGATAATTCATTTCAAGGCCTTCTGATACAATACATAAGTACACACATTATACAGTTGTTCAATTTACAATGACAATATACAGAAATAGAGTTAACCAAATCATTATTTGATATGGAAACCATGTACAGGTTCCTAACATTGTATAGAAATGTTCTAAATACAAATAAAATATTTCATATTTGAATTTGAAAACTCCATGCATATCTACAATATTCACTCTAATTTTTCAACAAAATCATACTGTTTAAATAACGTATATCATGTTTTTGTGCAGGGAAAAGGAATGGACTAATTGAGACGTTTCATGACACTGATTCAAGTAGCTAAATTCATTAATGTATACAAATTCACTGAATTATTCAAGTAAGTCGAGCCATAATTTCACTCAAATTCATTATCAACCAAAATAGACAAAGCGTAATTTTTCAAACAAAAAGCCAAGCGAGATATACAGTAACTGTAGAAAAAGAAATGTAAAATGATACCAGTTAAACGTTTGTGTCCGCCGTTTTCACAGCAAGAACATTCATGAACTGCAAAAAATCATGATATATCTGAATCAATAACAATAAGAAACATTATTTCCTTGTAAATTTTATATTTTCTATTTCGTTTCATTTTTTAATCTAAGTTCTATGTATGGGAAAAGAAGGTTAATTGTCCTATAAACAAAAGAAATTGCACAGAACACATTTACCACTGTTACTTGCACAGCGGTCTGTTAACTTGAACAGAAAGCGGTCAGCTTCGCGCAGACATTAACTAACGTCTTGTCCTCATTTTGACTTGTTTTGACAATACCATTTAACTAACATAAAAGATAACCCTTACAGATCACTTCTAGACCTGTGCAACAAGGCCCAGGTTTGGGTCCTGGTCTAATTCAAGTTATTGCTTCCTGATTACCTACATGTAAACATCCATAATACTGCATTCTTTTCATTTCAGCATTGAACATGAAATACCAATACGTCTTGCTAGAGGCACTTTGTATATTCTTTGTGTCCCGGCACCACATAACCACCACATAACCACCACATCCAGTTCTATATGTTGTCTAGGTATCAATGTAATAGCTCCCTCTGTTTTCAAGTTATTGGATTTCAAAATGACACCAGTAGACTGTTTTATTTAAATCAAAACTACTACATGTACAACGATCAGAACGAAAATCGGTCTACTACCAAAGTCCCATTTGGAGGATGTTTCCTTTCACATTTTGAAATTAAATAGAAATAATTAGATTCTTTCAGGAAATGTTATCAACCTGAACAAAAAACACCTTTATTGAGATTGAAATGAAGAACTAAAAATCAGGTCCTGCATTTCGTTGGTGGTTTTGTGGTGCCTCGTCAAATTGTCCCTGTATTATCCATCATAAGTGCATATTTGAACTGGTAAAAAAAGACCATGGGATGTTTCACAAAGATCCTAAATCAAGCTTAACTCTACGTTGGACTTGAAAATTATGGAGAGTCATTCGTTAGTCTTAAAATCAAATACCGTATATTCAAAAGCGAAAAATCAAGTATTTTAGACTTTTTTTTTTTATAAATTCCAAAACAAGAACATGAATGATCTGAATCAACATCTCATGCCTTTTAAAATAACTTTTACAAAATATTTTTAAAGATGCTAAGGGCTTTCCATAATTGTTAAGTCAAACTTAGAGATAAGTTCACCTTTGGATCTTTGTGAAACACCCCCAGCAGTTACTTCAAGTATTCCTATCCAAATCGATTTTACACCACCTAAGAGTACAAATACCGCGATCGCGACTATTTTCAAAATACTAACTCAAGGGCATAATTATACAATACCCTATTGTATGTCCCATAGAAATCTTGTTTGGATTACGTGCACGATGTAATTTAAAGCATCTTTTTTCAGTTGATTTTTCGTAGTAGATGCTATCTTGTTCAATATTAGTCTCAACATTGCAAGCCTAGTTATGACAATGGCATGATTTCTGTTTTGGCAAATAGGCCTTCTTCTTTATGATTTTTTTTTTTAATCAATTGAAATGCACAGGAAATGAATCAAATTCAATGAATAGAAGTCTATCATGCAAGTTTTGCATGATGCTGAAGTGGAGAATAATGATTGTAGTGATTATTTTTCTTCTTAAACTTGTAAAAAAAAATATTAAAAAAAGAATGATTTCTCACCTGAGTTCCTAAAGGCACTTTCTCAATTTGAATCGAAATTGATTATTTGTGAAACCAAAAACCTTGAACTGTCACATACAACTCTCGCAAATTTTTAATGCCAAATTTGTGACATGAACATATTTTGAACTGCAAATATTCAGTCTTGTAATTCAATGATCTAGCAGCAAAAATATCTGAACAGCAAAATTTCTGATAGGTTCACAAATTTCTGGTTGATGTCAAAAAGACACCAAACAAACCAAGAATTATCTTTGAGCAACCTCCCCCATCCGACATTGGATGTATGAATTTCTTTCAAACAGAGTTAAAGGAAAAGTCTGACCCAATCGCAAATTAAATTGAATAAATAGAGAAAAATTGAACAAACAAAACGCTATAAGTTTCAACAAAATATAGTGATATGTTTCACGTAGACTGTATGCAAATTAGGGAGATGATGTCATCCGCTAGTTCTAAATTAAGCCATTGCTAACCAGGGGGGAACCAATCGTAATGAAGCAGCACAACTATGACCAGCAGAGGTTCACTAAGCAGCTAATCGGACCTACTCTAGCATCAACTGTAAACTCTGAAGTACTAACGAACGAGTAATTGACTTGCATCGACCACTACATACATTGAGAAATACTGGTTTCTGAGTTAATACATCAATGTACATCATATATTATTGCCACCATTTTGTCAGCTGAAACACACGCATGAACATAAGGCATTCAAACTGCACAATAGATCCTCGTACCACAGTTAACTAAATTATTTATACCCTTACCAAGTTTTATGATTTTTCAAGTATGTGAACAAAAATCCTTGAGAATGTGACATATTAAAATAATAGCTAACACCTAAAAGTATTCAACAAAGGCCGTATTCGACCAGTCCACCTGTCATTCTTGAGTTGCAAAAACAAAAAAAATACCTCAAATTTTCTAGGGGTATGAATAATTAAGTTGTTAACTATAGTAAAGGATGATTTAGGGGAGGGGATAGGGAGAAGACCAGAAAAGTTTTGAAAACAATGAAATACAGAAGAATTTGACTGATATACACAGGAAAAGCCCACTAAGGGTAATGGTTCTAAAGGCAGGGTATTCTACTAACACTCTACATTAGGTTTATGTATACTGCCATCTGCTGCTCAAAATGTCCCGATGTGTCGACAGCCATGTACCACAATGCATCACTGACTGATAACATGCTCGTGATGATGCTTGGATACAGGAAGCGAAAATCGCCCTATGTAAGCCATCACCGCAAGACAGCGCGATTGAAAATACATTAATGAAAGGATGTTGGTAACTACATTGTAACCTTACCTTTTATAAAAGAAAGGGGAAAACTGCAAAACAAATCATTACATCAACAAAAAACAAAAACAGATATTATTGATGAGCCATAATTATAGAGCAAATTGCATACATGCCACGACAGGATTGAACAGCATAATTGATAAACAAACAAGAAATACAAGCTTTTTTTTTTTTTCATCTCAAATTTTGAGTTCCAAAATCGGTGACAAACGGCTCTGGCTAAGTGAGATTTGTCGTAGTCAAATATAAAAAACAAACATGTTAATTCTGTACAAATTTCTTCTAGAGTATGATAATATAAAAAACAAATCTATATGTACAAAGGAAACCTTGCGTGAAGTACTAAATTTGAATCGTTACAAAAGCAAGGATATTCTCAATTTATAGTTTCTGAAGAAAAAAAAAATCTAAATTTGAATTTGTAGTCTTGATTCTAAGTGGTGACCAGATAATGATACCTACAGTATCTGACCTCATTCCAGCACACACCTTGCCAAAACTCAGGTCACAGCGCCAAAGTTTTACCTGACCGCTAAGAAAGCATGTGTATGTTATGCTTGTACGTAAGCAACCAGGGGACCAACGACTTTAAGTCCTCTAAGAGGGACTCTGTAATGAGGATTGATGCCTTACCCAAAGGGCACTGGCGCATTGACTTGGTTTTGAACCCAGGGACGCCCCGTTTACGAGACCACTGCTCTACAACTGGGCCATCAAGCCTCCTGTCTTGTGTCGTGAAATAATCAACATGGTTTCAGGGAGCTGGCATGTTTGGTGTGTGACTTATGGTACTCACTTCACATCTTGACCTGCACCCAAAAATTTAGAAATTCCTGCAGGCTCCTACAAAAACCATAACATACAACCCTATGATGTCAAAAGAATAAAAGAGTGGCAAGTTTAATCTTTTCAAACATCCCCTTCCTATAAAAGTATCAGAACTGCATTAACCTGTAAAGGTTTCAAAGGATATGTAAAGTGTGTACTAGTATACTTCTCTGTCTTAATACAAAAAAAAATCTCTCATATAAAACTCTTGGAAACTTCACTGTCTTCGACTTTGGGTCTCTTTGATTGTCACATGAAAGCAGTGACCTGCGGCGCCCTCGTGGGGCTGCAGAATTGTAGTGCGGAGGCGGAGTGGGACTGGGGCGAGTCGAGGAGATAGGCTGAGGAGACGGTGTGGGTCGTGTCCTTTAAGGGTGAACTGTCGAGGATGGAGCCACTGAAACTGAAGGCTGTGAAGGGCGATGTCGTCATAGGCACATCTAAACTGCTGATGTCGTTGAAGGTGTCCAGTAAGTTATCCTAGGGAAGAAAAGAGGGATTTATGAGTTGAAGGGAGTGGTAATCTAAACTGTCTAGGATAGGACCACAGCCCACTTTATAAACTAAAGGCTCTGAAGGGGGATGTCCAAACTAGCGAGGACACGGGTTCGAAACTGAGTCACGTCTTTTGGATGGTGACGTTTAAAGGTCCGTCCCCAGACGTAAATAATCATATCTGATTGATACACGTCTGTAAAACCACAATACACACACACACACACGGAATGTCCATTAAAAAATACTTCATGTTCTTTGCAACTCAAGGAATCAGAGAAGACAAGGAAAAGTTTGAGAGAAAGCAGATAAAGAATAAGAAAGTTTGAATGATTCCATACAAACAATTCATAGAGATATAAAGGTGTCTTTAATACCTGCAAGCCTAGATCACCATCGAGTTGAGTTAACGTTGGGTCTAGAAGATTAAGACTAGGGTTGAAAAACTGCTCGGCAAAGACGTTATGCGAGACCTCGTGCTTGGTTTCCGAGGGTGTGACTGTCGTTGTGGTTGCCGTGGAGATGATGCTCTGGAGTGGGGGCGGGACCTTTGCTACGGGAGGCGTGGATTCCCTCGGCGACGATTTGGGGGTTGAGATCCTGGACAGGGCTTCGATTCTTGAGAATTCCTCTGGAAAATTCATATTTTGATGGCAACTTGTTAAAAATAAAATTCATAATGAACAACTAAACTGGAATACTAATTAATATACCTTTTTAGTAGGCAATTTTCATAATGTAATGATTACATTTTGTGTTGTGAGGTTGTAAGCAATCGACTGATCGACTCACATTCTGACTATTGAAACTCAATTATTCACAACAGGTGAATGAAATAATTAACAGCATATTATCTTAGTACACTGTAACAACTTAACTACATGTAGGCACCTAACAAAGATTTCTGTATTAAATTTGATTACATTACGAAGATGGTCGATTCAATTGAATTTTCATATGACAAAGGGTGTGATTTGGGTACCCGGTAGAATGTGACTGTCGTTGTTGGTCAAACAGTTTTGAGCGCCAAGTAACGCCTGGCTGGAATACTCCCAAGGGAGTGGAGATTGTGCACACAGTGTGTGCAGGGAGGGACGTATTGAATCCAATGACCGGAGTAATATCTGTAAAGCGCTTAGAGACATCGTAGATGTACAGTAGCTGTATTAAGCGCTATATAAAAGCGGAATATTATTATTATTATTTCTACTTGACGAATCGTAATTTCGTATGATCACTTTGTCTACTCATCATGATCTCACCTGGTTTGGCCATGCTCCTCTTGATGCCCGAGGGATCTTTCTGAGTCCATTTATACACCTCCTCCTCCATCTTGGCCTGCTTCTCTGGGTTCATCGCCCATAGGCATCCCTTCCTGGCCGAACCGTTACCATTGTTCACCTGAGGCTTCTCTATCTTAGCAAAGCATTTGTTTAGCGACAGGTTGTGTCTTACAGAGTTCTGTGTGGGGGGAATGAAGAGAGTGATAGCAAAGATGAATAACACTTAGGAACATCTGTAACCACAGAACTTATGATGCTATGTACAGTACATGTATCTTAGAAAAGCATTTGTTTTGCTACAGACTGTGTCTCATGCAGGACTCCCACTTAGCCGAGTTGGAGCCTCGAGCTGTGGCAAGCTGGCACGAGCTTATGCGAGCCGTTTTTATCAATTCTTGGTATCAAGAATAATTTTACGTTGTAAAGCATGGTAATTCTTGATATCAAGAATTCAATTTCGTGCTATCAAGAATTGAATTCTTGATATCAAGAAATATGTTTTAATGATAAAACGGCTTGCCATAAGCTCGCGCCAGCTTGCCACAACTCGAGGCCCCAACTTGGCTAAGTGGGAGCCCTGCTTTATAGAGTTCTGTAAAGTCCTTTGAGAGACCAATGGTGAGAGCAACCAGTGGCATGAATGGCCTTCCATAGTTTAATTAAGTAGATCTAAGTCTTTGTAAAACACCCCATTGGTCAGCCATCAACCCCATATTGTATCTCCCAGGTAACTTCTGATAATCAAATTCACATTCTACACATTAACACCTACAGTACAAGCATTGCTGAGAAAACACCTGCTCATTCCAGCCACCCTATTGGCTGAATGGAAGAGGACAAAAAGTCAACAACTGTCAACACATGACGGGTGAGTGCACTTTTACAATGAGGGGGAATTCCTTTGCAGACTAATTGGAGGGACTGCTAAAAATAACCTACAATGTACATGCACCTGTTCCTTAACAGTATTTTTGATTGTTGTACATACACTGTATACTTAGAGATGGAACATGGAATGAACCTAAAAATTGAATTTGAAAAAAGCGAAGTACCCTCTATACTTTTCTAGCATTAATAGTTAATTTATAGCCCACTTCCCTCGATCAACAGTCCAAAGTCTGAATTTAACAGTCAAGTTTATTGACACTAATATGGCTAATGTCATGACCTTGTTTGCCAATTAACTTGAGAATAACATCATGGAAACATTCTATATACACTGTGCAGGTGAACGAAGTTCACGTGCACTCACTCACTCAAACCGATAAGACGTTGCCAAGACAACAATCAATTCTCTACAGTCTACGAGTCTACATCATACATGCCCAATGTACAACATGTACAGTTATTGAATGAGGGGATACAGTGATACAATACATTCAGTTGGGAGTCACGTCACCATACAGTACATTTATAGGAGTAACTACAGCATGTGAGCCATGAGGCATGTGTGTTGCTGGGTGTAGGTCTGTGGGAGGGAGGGGCAATTTATAAACAAATTATCAACAAACTGTCATAATTACTATTACTGGTAGTTCATGAAGAGTTTCAAGACACACTTCAGCCTTCTTCATAACCTGTACATGTGCATGTACAGTATGTACCGGTACACAAGATCCAAGGAGATTTCTTATAGCAAATTAAGAAATGTTTTTAGTAAAATGATATGAAAGAATGTGCCTTACCTTCCATCCATCTGGTGCTGTCTTGAAGTAAGGGAAGTTCTCACTGTAAACAAGATAAAACGTTAAAAGAAAGTTTAGATTGTTTTCAATAGGTAAAGGGGGGATACAAACAGGAGCAGATACCGGTAGTGATTCTACTCATACCCATAGCAACTCTTTTTCTTCTTCAGTTGCAGTGCAGATGTGTTTACAGTTACACACATGTCTGAAAAAAGGTAGTTACATTGTACATGTAGGCTACATGTAACTGCGGCTACTGAGCGTGAGTAAAAACAACTACACTGTATCGTTTTTAGCTGAGCTGAGTCTTTTGTACCTCTCACTCAGAAGTTTAGGTAACATTCAACAGAACTAAAAAGGTCTTACCATGAAAACATTTTGTTAAATCAAAATGTAAAAAGAGCAAAGGCGTCTATACCGGTGTACAGTGGTATAACATACTACATTGTACAAGAATTACCGGTAAACACAATTTTGTAGTGAAATTAGTAAACAAAAGCAATGTGGACATGCATGTCTTACTTTAAATCTGGAAAACTTGCTTATAATATATTTATGCACATTGTAAAATAATTGCCAGGATTATATAGACAACTATTAAATTTACTTGTATTTTCAATATAAAATCATTGCTTTTCTTCAATCTGTGCACTTGCAGTCATGCTTACAAATGACAGGAAAACAAGAACTTTTCCACTTGGTTCAAGACTGTACAGTAGTAGCCACATGGTGAGTCTTGAGAAGCTATGAATAATAACCAGTCACTAGACCACACCCCCTTGGCTCTCACCCAATGCAAACTACTATTGTTTTGATGCACACACTGTGTGTAACTGTAAGGGTGTGTGGGTGTAGTAAGTGTGGCCTGGGCTACAACTGTACATCATGCTTACTCACTGGACAGCCAGGACAGCCCAATAACAATGATGTAGTCTTTAACATCAGACCCCATATGAGTGACCTCACCTATAAATCCTGCCCCCTACTGTACACTTTTAACACTTTCGACTTGGCTACATGTAATTCATGAATCACAATGCATATTTAAATTTAAAACAAACTTTACATGGCTTGAGATTACTGAAGAGAAATATTTTGAATGCAAGAGATCTAAATATTGATACAATTATTTAATTCAGATAAAATGACAAATTAAAGTACATAAGTCTCTGTATATAACAATTAGCTACCATTCAAATAATCTGGAACAAGAAGTTATGTGTAGGCCTGGGGTTGCATCAATGGTGTTCAACTATTGAGCAATGAGCATGCATGTACAGTACAGTACATGTACACATACATGTATTAAACTGCAAGTATGTACTCCAAATGTAGGCTACAGTCCCTTACAACTCATTCATAAGTACAGTAAGCCTAGGACCCTGGCCTGGGAGAGTACATGAATTCATTAATTTCATTTAGATGAAGGGTCTAATACTCTAATTTTTCAAGACTATATATTTACCAAGGCTCTGCCTTTCTAGGTAAACCCACCAAATAGTCTCCATTGACTGCTTCAAGTTAGTCATTGATTCCTGAAGGTCTGCACTGCGCATGACAATGCAGGGGGCAGTGTACTCAACCACTCCATTGTGGTGTTATGTAATCTGGTTTAAATGTCTGCTATGAATGGGGACAAAGCCCATGGGCTGACAGGTGGAAATGTGGGATAGATGACAAAGATGGGTGAAGACAAAGTACTTCTGCTAGCTCTAGAAAATCTCTGTCAGCTCCTTTTCTCTGGTGTCAAGTGTTTAAAACTGAGGGTTTTTTTATAAACCAATTAGCACCTAGACAAAAGCAGGCCTACAAGTACATGAAAAGTTCAGGGACCTAAATGTTCTTTCAATTTTACAACCAGTTACTTGTGAGGTGTGACTGTAAAAAGCAACTAAACAAATATTACATCAGAGAAAACAGGTGATTGTCCCTTCCTGTCATTTTGCAACTACAAATTTGTATTTGTGGTGTTGTTAGCAAATTTCACATACCAATACCAAGGAGAAATCATTACATTTCACTATCCATTGTAAAATTATTGTATACTCAACAAAAGAAAGTTTCATCTTCATTATCACAAAGATACAACTAAAAATGACAAAAGTTGAACTTCCTGTTTTTAAAGGGACTTGGAAACATTGTTTAGATGAGAGAAAATTATGCTAAGGTAGTGACTTCAATGCTACAGCTGTAAATGTACGTGTACAACTAAAGATAATTTGACAGTTTGGGTGAAAACAGCATAATTAATGACAATTGGAGAAAAAAAATGATTCGATTGATTCCTTAATTCTCCCAACTAGACCTATATCATATCATTAATTATAACTTATTACACTTAATTACATTTTTGGTGAATGTAAATTGTCCCAAAGCAATGAATTGGCTCTACACCTGTACCTACATGTTCCATTCCAAGGATTTAATTTAGGTCTACTACTAGTGTTAAAATATTTTTTTAAACCCGTTTTATTTTTTTTATGTCTAATTTTCAAGGAAAAACAGTTGGGAAAATTCAAAAATTGGTTGGAAGAATGTACTATTAGTAGTATTACAGTATTAGAGGGTGTCGCAGTGACACCTTCAAAGAAAACCATAAATATCTTTGTGGTTTGAGAAATTTAGAGGGTTTTGTGCATGTATGATGTACACCACCCCTTCCCTCGTCAATCATGTGACCGGAGTCGGGCTAACTTGGCTCAAAGACAACTTGGTCCAGCTGCAAAAACAGTCAGTTTTTGCAGGTTGAGGGTTAGGTTTAGGGCAAGGGTTGGGGTAAAATGACAAAAACTGACCGTTTTTGCAGCTGGGCCGAGTTGTCCTTAGGCCGAGTTAGCCCGGATTCCAAAACATACATGTCAGACTATAAAGTTCCTCTTTATGACTTTATAAAACAATTTCCACTAGAACCTAGATCTAGACCTCTAGCAATTTTTTTATACCAGGTAGACTATTTGACATTTCATAAATACCTGTGTCTGTGCCGGTCATCTTATGACATTAAACTGTGCTACCGGTAATCATTTACAACACAAGCATCACGAATGACGAAATATGAAGAAAATTATCCTGAATCAAAACAAAACAAAAAAGAAAAACAAGATGGAAAACAAAAACGTGACAAAAAAAAACAAAAAGACGAAAACAAAATTACTCTAATACTCACCACATAAACTGATAGATCTCACTGACAGGCAAACAGCCGTTCTGACTGTTCTTCAACGACATCGTAATCAGACAACTGTACGAGTAGGCCGGCTTTGGATAGACTTTGTCAACCTTTGCCTTTGGACTTGCTGGGTGGACGTTCCCCTTCTGCTGCTGTATTTTGAGAGCTGAATTCAAGTCCGAAACTGAACCATTTTGCATGTTTCCATTGGCTAAGTGGAGCTGCTGCTGCTGGAGTTGCGAGATGAGTGTCTGCGCGGCAAGCTCGTTAAAGTTTGAGAGGTTGATCTGCGAGAGATCCATGGCCTGCAGGGTACCGTTTTGAAAAGTCACGTTCTGATTTCCATTTCCCGTTGAGAGAATGAGCGGAGATTGCTGCTGTTGGGTATTCAGGGAAAGGATAGGAGACTGTGTGATGATATTGCCTATGTTGCTGAGTCCAAGAGTTTCGCTTGAAGAGGCAGAGGCAGCAATCTGCGCCTGCAGCTCGGGGAGACTGTTGACAATCATCTGCAGACTGGCCTGGGCCGAGTTGGGGTCTAGCTGCAGTGCGGTGGTCGTAACTGGCATGCCCGTTTGGGGATCAACAAGCAGACTATGAATGCTGTTTTCGACCCCATCCATACCAGTAATTTGACTCAAATCCACTGTGTTAGCTGTTGTGGTCAAAACCGAAGTAGGATTTGCATCCGAGGCTGTGGTTTGAACGGCTTGCTCCTGAAAATAATTCGGGAGCAAGGTGAATTCGGCCGTGGAGTCTAAATCCAAGCCTGTCGTCTGCAAAGATGAGAGATCCATCGAGGACTGCGGCGAAAATCGGGCAGCATCAGACCTCAAAATCTCGTTCACTTCACTCTGAACTTCATTCGCAAACACATCATTGACTGATAAATCAGTTACCGAACCACCTCCGTAGAAATCCATGATGAAAATATTAAATATTTATCAGTTACATGAAAAACAAGAGAGTTGTTGACGGCGAGTACGCACACGACTGCACAGTTCGCTCGTGTAGTCCGACCTATTTAGAAATTCATACAATAACAACTCCACAACGACAATACGTTACGTGCGTATTGTCCGTTACACTACAGTCCCACACGGCAGGCGGAAATTCACCTGTAGAAAACAGCTTCGCCCAAAAAATCTAGACTTTCACCAGCTCTAAATTTCTAACTAATCCAAGGAAAAATTTGTTTTTCACGTAGATATATAATTGGTGAGGTCCAAATAATAGTAATATCCATGCAATGAGCCAGAATTTGATGTCATATCAACGTCCACATATTCACGAAGAGAGGCCCCTGTATAAATTCATAGTAAAAAAATCCCGTTAACTGTGCATGCATTGAACAAAGACGGATGGGAATTTAAATAACCTCACGCGGATTGGTCGCCTGCGCCCCACATGACCCGCCGTATAAATGGCGCTCGCTGATTGGTCGTTGATAGTCGTCGTCAAAGCAAGCCATTATGCATGCAGATAAATTCACGTAGCAGGTGAATTTGGGATATTTGCCATTTTCAGAGTATACTGACACTCGATTTCTTACAAATTTCAAGACAAGACTACGTACATATTCTCACATATCTCAAATGTAACATCTTGAATACAATATCTGTGTGTAACAACCAGACTGCGTTCAATCAATTTTGTAATCGGGGGAAAAGGGTCTGGAGGGAAATGTCTCCTCTTTGTACGTTGAAGAGACGTAGACTCTATCCCTTTGTTCGTCTTTATCTGGGTGTGGTCATTTGAATATTTGTGGTATACAGTGTAATGTGTTGTGCGTGTGTGTATGAGTATAGTGTATGTACTATCATGTTTGTGTGTTTATCACGTATAAAGTGGTAGCTGCACAATCCCAACTCCCTGCATAGACCTAATGTGCAGACGTTGTAATACCGCAGTGCTGTGTGTGTGTCTATAGCTTTAGGTGTGAGCAGGCTATAGGCCCAGTAGAAACTGCTATTTTGTGTAAACTTCACGTGTAGAAGTTTACTAGTTCCATTGACTGGGTTTATCAGCTGATCGAATGAAAACACCGCGTAGTACTCCAAGGTTCTCGTAGTTTCTAGTCTCCTTTTCGAGTAGGAAATACGTCTTGACTCTTAGTACTGCAGAACAACTCCAGCGGTCAGATTAGGTTTTTAGTTTTCCGAGAAGTTTTGGTTGTTTGATTAGAAAAGGCTAGAAATCGCTATATTTAGAAGTCATCTGCCATAAACGATTTACGGAACTGCATGTTTATATGCGGGCAATGCGGCCACATGTCTAAATAAAGTCTTTGTAAACTGGATTGTCACATTGTGAATTTGTGATAGTCCTATCAAAAATGGTGTCAAATATGGGTTTTATTTAGCTTTCTAATGCTTTGTTTGTCAAATCGAATTTTATTAATTTCTCCTGAAAATTAAGGAAATCATATAATGCTCTCCAAATGTCCCCATCTGAAAAGTGTGGACCAAACTTGTGTGTGTGCCTAATCATTTCCGTGTGATCTTCGGCAAGGTTGAGTAAAAACTGTTTTATCCCCAGTTTGGGTCACCCCCACATTTCACGGTACAACCGTGACTGTATAGGCGTAAAACGATTCTTGTATCACCGTAGGCTTGGAGGTGTCGATGTATAGTGGTTCATTATTTTAGTTGACCGTCGTTTTATAAGTTCGAATCCCAACCCAGCGCTACACATTAATCAGGGTGGGGAGTGGGGGGGGGGGGGGGGGGGGGAGCGCCGCAGTGGCGGATCCCCCCCCCCCTCGGAAAAAAGGTGTAAAAACACGTTATTTTTACCTTTTGGGGAGATGGCCCACCCCCCTGGCGCTCAAGAGGGGGGGGGGTGCGATTTTTCAAATTTTCGAGCCCCCCCCCCCCCCCCCCCCCCCCCCACTGAACGAATTATCGGCCGGCTGTTTCGCTACTTAATATTTTCTCACGAATTTGGCCCCCTCCCCTGTCGCCGGCTGGATCCGCCCCTAGCTGGGGCACCGATCCCTTCATAATGTTTCCATTTGGTAACTTTAATATATGAGATGTATTAAAAAAACTTCCCTTTCCCTTCTTGAACTTCAACATTACTATCGTGCAGCATAGCACCTAGCATGTAATAATCTAAAAAGGTGGAAATTGGCTCAATTTTCCAGTCAAAAATACTGATTTTTTTTTTTTTTTTTTTATTTATTTATTTTTTTATTTTTATTTATTGATTTTTTTTTTTAAATTTATTTATTTATTTATTTATTTTTTTTTTTTTTGGGGGGGGGGGGGTGGGTGGAATATAATGTTTTTAATGATCATAATATCCTGCTGAATAACAAATATACGGTATACTTGCATTTTAATACTACAAATTTTATTTTATATGTTTTTTGTTTTGTTTTTGTTTCGGGGGCTAATCAGCCTTACTCTTTTTCTTCCAGCCCCCCCCCCCCCTCCCTTTCTTCAGGCCAAAAGGGCTGGCACTTTATTGGAAAAGGGGGAAGTAGAAGGAAGAGGAGAAGGAGAGAGGGAAGTAAAAGAAGTAGAATCAACGGAAGGGAAACAGAGGAAGAGTAAGATAAGAAGAAGAAAAGGGAAGTAGAAAAGGGAGGAGGAGAGAGGGGAGAAGAAGAATTAGAATAAAAGAACTTAGAAGGGAAAACAACTGAGGAAGAGAAGGAGAAGAAGAAGAAAAATGGATGTTAAAAAAAAGGAGGAGAGTCTGGAGAGAGAGGAGGGAGAGAAAAGTCAGAACAAGCCAGAAGGATAATCAGTTTGTAGAAGGAGAAGAAAAGGAGATGATGATGAAAATGAAAATGGATCAGGTGATGGTCATCATCATCATTGTCTTCATTGTTTTCACTATCATGACGTCTATACCGTGCGGAAGAAAACCGATGAAGATGAGGAAGAAAATCAAAACTCTTCCAAGGAGTCGAATCTATTATTTCTGTTTTATTTTTGCTATGATTAGACGTAAGTTTCCTATTGATCTTATTGTTTTTTTTAATGAAATAATAATAGGAGGTAAGCTATAGGCCTATGCACTAATAAATGCAGGAGACCGCCCCCCCCCCCCCCACCCCTCCCTCATCATGCCCATTAGCCAATCAAGCAGTCCTGGGTGATTATATCAAAACCCATCATAACAGTAATCGACTCTATCTTAACAATGGCTAAAAATGTTTCTAGGACACTTACCCCCAGGACAATCACCCCGGCCAATTACCAGCGGGACAATAATTACCCCCCCCCCCACCCCGTAAAATTGCCCTCTCCTCCGGGGACGACCCCCCCCCCCCCGAGGACAATTATTACCCCCTGAAAGTTACCCTTTAGGACAATAACCCCCGTTGACAATTACCCTCGGGTAAAATTTCTGCTTTTATCAAAACCAACTTTTTAACAGGATGGACGTCCCGTTTTATGAACAGGGGGTAATAATAATCCATAGGAGGTAACATTCAGAGGTGTTTTTTTTTTTTTTTTTTTTTTTTTTGGGGGGGGGGGGGGGTCATATTGGGAAATGTTAAGGGGTGGGTAGTAATTGTCCACGGGGGTACTTGTTCTACGAGTTAACCCCCGGGGGTTGTCCTCGGAGGGGGAGGGGGGGGGGGGCGGGGGTAATTTCCGGGGGATTAATTGTCCTTGGGGGTAGTTTTCGGGATACGGCCAAGAATGTTACCATTATCATAATATTAAATTGCTTTTGTATGTGGATGTATTAAAATGTAACAATGAGATGACTTTGCAATCATTTTCGTAATGTCGTATTTGTCTTCTATTGTTACAGGACAAGTCCACTCTAACAAAAACAAGAGCAACAGAGCAAAACAAATTTGACTAAAGTCGGATAATTAATAAGGAAGTTTTGATTTTTTTTCTAAAACTTATGACAAACTTATAAAAAAAACTAAGATAATCACTACAAAAATTCCCAATTTGCTTATCAGTTTGTGACGTCATTGCTTCACTATTTATCGATTGATTTATATATTTCTATCCCATAAATTTCCCTTTTTATATCCCCAGACACGACAAGGAGACCGTTTCTGAGCGCTTGTTACATACTTCGGATAGAAACTACCCCATATAAAATGCATTTAGTATAAGTCTTAATTATAACCCTAGTTTCACACGAGTTATCGAAGTTGAACTTCGACTCGTTATTTAGGCCGATACCTTCCCTAAAATGTCTTTCTTGTAGACTAGATCCGCCCACGGTATTGATTTGTTATGACGGTACGGTGTGCACCGCCGTGTTGTGGGTCGAGTGTTGTGATTGTTTGTGAATGAATGGAACGACAGCGGCCGCGCGCGTGCATGGTTTACTATAGAAATCAGCTGGGCAGACGAACCACGCCTCCAACACGTGTACGTACTACGTTCATTGACGGCAAGAAATGGCGCGAAATTTTTGTTTACACCCAGAAAATATTGGTCAAAATGTGTAGGTTTCATCTTCACATGCTTCGGAGAGTTTCTCCCGGGGTGTGTGTAAAATAAACAATTGCACGCAGTCACTATAGGATTGGCCTGATTGCTAATTGGGGTAGAGTGGGCGATGACGAGGAGGAGGAGGAGGCGGCGGGGAGGGGGAGGGGCAGGGGGTATAGAGAGGGCACATCTTTGTCATAAAGGCGAGTATATCTTATACTCGCCTTCATGTCATAGGGGTGAAAAATTTGATTACAATAAGGCAAAATGTTTTGTTTTAATTTACAGGGAGTTTATTCTGATGTGGTAGGCTACGCTTAAAGGACTGTTGTTGAAAAAACAGTACTAAGGATTTTGATTCTTTGCGAAGGAAAAAGGGGGGGGGGGGAGTGGCACGGCTTGGGAGATAGGGGCAGCGGGGATGAGCAGGCACGTATCCACGGGGGGGGGGGGGGGCCGCTCCCAGGACGTCGATCGATTACATGTATGTGCCCCCCCCCCCCCATCTCCCCCAAACATCAAACTCTGGCTACGTCCCTGGGGATGAGGGGCTAGGTAAGGGCTGAGGCCGACAATAATAAGCCGGGGCCAGTTAAGCCCACTAGTACTACACGATTGTCAAAGCAATTTATTTAGATAAGAAATCGGCTAAACTGACACCATCTTCCTGATTTATCTTTTAAATGTTATAAGGTATACAAAGTTTTGGTATGGGCATGGGTGTCTATCTGTAACTGATACCCATTGTTCGGGGGGGGGGGGATGATCTATTCATTCATCCCCCCTTGAACAATAGGTATTACGTTAGGATCGACATTATGAAACTGTAGCCTAAATAACAAACTCTTTATGTTGTATAGCGCCCTTGCAAGACTGATATTTCTTTAGCTTCAAAACAATGTTTTTGACTACAATCGACCGATTTGCTATTCCCGTTTGGAATTTACATATCAGAACTGCATATATGAGAATTTCATGGTCGCAGCTATCATGATGGAATGGCCTTAGGCGCTATTTGAAATATTAGAAATTTACCGGGAGCACCACTGATAATATTATACGAGCAGTACACAGTGCTTATTTACAGGAGGCAAGGGAAAGGAAAATTAGGAAATCGAGCAGAATTTCCTGAAATATTAATCAAAATTACTCGACTGGGCATGTGTAAGCACTAATCTGACATAATAATATCATAAAAAAACTATGTAGGCCTACTTGAACTGTACTTGAACAAATTCACTTTTTATTTTCTTGTGCAGGAAGTAATCGGAAAAGTGCATTGCAGGTTTTAGGATTTTAAAATTGATTTTTTTCTCACAATCTAAAACTGCTATTTAATATACAATGTAATCAAATTATTGGACACAATATAAGTTAGCCTGTTGTATTCATATTTTATCATCTGTTCGATTTTTCCCTTTACGGTTAGTCCAAATAAAAAGTGAAATATTAACGACATTTCTTTGTGAACTTTGTATTATTATCCGAGGACATTGGAGCCCAGCCTTTGAAAGGCCAATGGCCCCTGCTGGCTCCTTCATATTCTTTGTATTATTTATATTTATATTTGCTTATAATTATGTATAATGTATTGTTAAATGTATTTTTTACGAGAAATGGAAATAAAATGAACTTGAACTTGAACTTGAAAAATCACTACTCAAGCTTTCAAATGATGTTGGCGGCATCGAACCTTGGATATCAAAGGTAACAGCACACCATAAATCTGCTTGAAATAAAGTGTTGCCAGTTGGGACCCCAGCTCTTAACACTCCTTGATACTATCTCTACGACCATGATGAGACATGAATAATAGACGGGTTTACTATTATATTCAAATTCTTGAATGTTTCTTTCATGGGGTTATAGTGACGAGGTATTCCATTTACCTGTTATTAATGAATAAACTAAAAAAAACTTGCTTACATCGTTTTGCTATGTCGGGCAAGACTCGGGCATGCTGTCATGTTTTAATAACAATTTCTTTTCAATATTCAGATTCCGAATTGCATTTAATATTATTTATTACACATGTTGTTACACAGGACAAACCATCATGTTGACCTATTACCTAGGAACAATAATAATATGCAATTCACAAAATAAGTAATGATGCAAGTATTCGTAGCAGCTGGTGTGTAACAAGTGAATGGAATTATTTGTAACGAGGCACTTAACAAAGAATTACGATTGTCTAAATTCTCTTTTTAGTCACAAACCTAAAGAGATGGAGCTATACACCATTTCTAAAGAGAACTACGGCGATTGTTACTAATTTTTGATAGATGGCGCTAGTCTGATTCTAATAACGAACATGACAGAACCTCTAATTCCTGTCTATGCTAGTTTCCGTCATTTCATTCTGCGTGTTGTTTATCAATGGAGGCAGGATTGAGGGCGCAATTATTTTGTTGCAAGAGTTTATGCCTTCTTATAAATGTAGGCTATATGTTTGTTTTATGTTGGGGCTACTCAAGTTCTTATTGATTCTAAATTCCTATTATAATTTTTGTTTAAGCTAACGAAAATCTGACTTTCTTTATAGATTCATTCCCCTTTTTACCGTCTCTATCTGACCTCTTGTTTCTCTCTCTCTGTCACTCCCCTTCTTCTATTTTCTTTCTAAATCCCCTCTTCCCTTTCTTATCTCACCTTCTCGTTTCTCTCATTCTTTTCTCTTTTCCCTACCTCTTCTTTCTTCTCTTTTTCTTAATCCCCTCTCTTCTTTCTTATCTCACCTTCTTTTTTTCCTCTCATTCTCCTCTTCTCTGTCCACTTCGCTTCTTTCAGTATCGTATACCCCCCCCCCTTTCACTATATCGTCTTTCTCACATTTCTCTCTCTCTCTCTATCTATCATCCCCTATCTCTCTCTCTCTCTCTCTCTCTATCATCCCCTATTTCTCTCTCTCTCTCTATCTATCATCCCCTATCTCTCTCTCTATCTATCATCCCCTATCTATCTCTCTCTCTATCTATCATGATCCCCTATCTATCTCTCTCTCTCTATCTATCATCCCCTATCTCTCTCTCTCTCTCTATCTATCATCCCCTATCTCTCTCTCTATCTATCATCCCCTATCTATCTCTCTCTCTCTATCATCCCCTATCTATCTCTCTCTCTCTCTCTATCTATCACCCCCTCCCTCCCTCTCTCACTCTCTCTATCACCCCCTCCCTCTCTCTCTTTCTCTATCATCTCTCTCTCTCTCTTTATCGCCTCCATTTTTTTTACCATTTCTATTATTTTCCTTTTTTATCGTAATGTTGTGATTTTGGTATGAATATTGACAAATACTCAAAGATCACAATGAAAATCTAAATCATAATTAGCGTCCAGTCTACAAGTATAATTTTATTACAGAAAACAGACTTGGTTTATCTTTATGGTTAATACACAAAATGATATCACAAAGTAGTACCATAATAATACAATACAGTGTAAGAGTTATTAGAATGTTCAACTTCATTTATAAAGTGCCTTTTCATAAAATACAAAGCGCATGAAAAGAAAATAATTACAGACAAATTACCGATAGTGATAGAGTAGTGGGAGAAGAAATAGAAGCCAAAATGGAAGACTTTTACCACCGCCAGTTCTTGATGGATTTATGAAGTGATTGTGTAAATGGAAATTAACAAAATAACTTGAGAACATATAATCTATTTAAGCAGAGTATACAAACAGAGAAATATTTATTAACCGTGGACTACAAACAAATATCTGCCGATTTAGAATTAGGTCACATATAACCTACCGATAGAAACTGGAAGACATAGATGTCCGGAAAAAATACCTTCAAACCAAAGAACTTGCAAGGGAATTTTAACATCCCACTTCAATTAGGAAATTTTCATTCCCTTTTGTTTGAATCTTTTTTGTCAAACTTAGGCTGGTACGTGCCATATAAGTATTTGTTATAATATTATTTACTACTGTACATGTACATGTATATACAAGCTACAATGTTTATTGTTAATTTGTGATTACTCGAGAAACTATACCACTTGTTGATGTTCTTGTTGATATAATTTGTTATACATGTCTTGTGAAACAAAATGTTCATGTATATGAATGAAGTTTACTAATAAAATTCAAATTCATACAAAGCAAAAGAACATTATTATACAAAGCAAACATTGATAAAGAACAAAGAAGAATGTTAAAAGAAAATAGAAAATATGTGTTTGAAGACACGCATTGAAAGCAGCAATAGTAGGGCAAATCATTAGAACAAGGTATTAGGAGTTCAGGGTTTTGGACTTTTGGGGCAATAACTTTAAAAGCCCGATCACCTATTTGTTTTCTGGGTCTGGTAATGGTACTGGAGGGCAAGTGTGTTACATGTACGAGTGTCCAGGCGTTTTTATACCGTACATCATGAGATGGGGGCCCAGGCAAGGGAATATCTTGTCAATCAGACATTACACCATCAGATACACTATCAGTAACATCAGGACTGGAATAACCCAATTCAACTTACTCACTTGCACTTGACTCACAGTCACTAGGAGATAGAATTCTGAGTCTGAGTATTCTACTTACTCACTTGAACTTGACTCACAGTCACTAGGAGATAGATAGAGTTCTGAGTCTGAGTATTCTACTTACTCTTACTCACTTTCACTTGACTCACAGTCACTAGGAGATAGATAGAGTTCCGAGTCTGAGTATTCTACTTACTCACTTGCACTTGACCCACAGTCACTAGGAGATAGATAGAGTTCTGAGTCTGAGTATTCAACTTACTCTTACTCACTTTCACTTGACTCACAGTCACTAGGAGATAGATAGAGTTCTGAGTCTGAGTATTCTACTTCCCCTGTAAGAAGAACAGACAGATGTCTTGGTACTATGCCCTCATGCGGGATCTTGCAGCGAAGGATTGTTCTTGCTGCTATTTCTTGTAGAGGTAACGTTGTTCTTGGTGGGGATAGCAGAGTCATTAGCTCTTCATTTTCTGGTGCATCTGGATCAAAACGTCTACTGTTACAGATATTCTCTTTCACTGTCAAACCATCAGCATCTCGCGCTTCAATATCACACCCATTGCGGATAAGGACCAGAGCAATTTCCTTTGTGAACTGCTGTTTGGTATGGTGAGCAAGAAAGAGTAACGAATGCAACATTGAGTTTCCTTCACTGTCAATTTGAGCTGCGTCTTCCCATTGCATCAACCTTAAGATCAAGCGCCTCATACGATTCTCTTTCACTTGCTTTCGACGGTACTCTTCCTTTTTCCCCCTGTCTTCGGAAGAACTACAATACAATCCATAAATGTTTTGCAAGATATAATGAGAGATTGCTACACAAGATTTTTCACCAAACTGCATTCTAACAACTCTTACCATTCCTTCACCAAACTGAAGCAGTGGTTCAAACATTTTCTTTGACATGGCACAGTCACGGTTAGCAATATCGGACAACAAAACGCCAACTTCATCCACCAAATCCAAGTTGAGTTCAAGTAGACGGTCCTGGGAGTCTTTACTAAACACCTGCAGACAAACATCTAGCAACTTGTAACACTCATCAACTACTTCATCTTCAAGTTTTTCGTAAAGGATACCATTCGCTATCTTTACAAGGACTGAGCCAATCTCAAGTTTTGATTCCAGCTCCAACTGTATTAATTCTCTACAGATCTGAGAGCCTTGTGACAGTGTTTCCTGGATCTTTCCCTTGTGAAACATCACGCCATCAAGCCCATGCTGGAAAACTCTTTGAAAGATGTAGATATCTTTCATTTCTTTTGGGAGCACTCTTTCTGCAACCAAGAAGCACTGGTTCTTTAAAGACCACTTATCTGACTTGATGTTTTCCCAGTCTTCTTGAGTTTTACATTCCTTTGTTTCTGAGAAAAGACTGAAAGAAGCAGCTACTTCAGACTTTCCAAGATTCCCGTAGGGTTCAATACCATTTTCCTTGTGAATAGACCGAGCTCTGCAGAAATGTGTACATGGGTGTTCCTCACCTGTGCAAGCAGGTACTTTGAAGTGAGCATTAAGGCCCACTGCCACTCCAAGAATTTCATAAACTCTTGCCTTTTCTGCATTGGACAATTGCAATTCATGGGGTTTTCCCTGGACAAAGAATTCAACGATGTCTTGGAAGTTGTAAATTGCTGCGATGCAAGGAGGATCGAGTCCATTCAAGTTACAGGTCAGTGTTGCGCCATGATTGATGAGAAGTCTGAGAATCTCCTTACTTGACTGCCTGCCCGAGTCTTGAAGGGAAAACTGACCTAAACTTGGAAGATCTGTACAGAAGACGCCTACGGAAGCACAGTGCATTGGTGTGTTTCCGTCTTCAGAGCCCTTTGCATTGGGGTCAGCTCCATGATCAAGGAGGAACTGGACCATTTCCTTCTTATCTTTAGCACAAGCGATCATCAGAGGCGACCAACCACGTTCGTCTCTAGCATCCAGATCAACATTTTGAGAAGCAAATATTCCTTTCATGTCATCAAGACTCACTGGATTAGGCCAATCCATTCTTGAAGCCAAGTTGAGTGGTTGCTGGTCCCGGTTGACTGATGCCATTTTCCATCAAAAGTTTCACTTCACAGCAGATCTACAATGGAAATCAATACCAGACAAAAAAACACACGTCACAATATAATAGATTACAGACATTTATTAGGTTTATTGTTCTACATTTACCATGTAAAGAGTGGTAGTCCAGAATAGGACTAGTAAACCTGATAAGAGCGGTTTAATCAAGTTTACAAGTTCTCTCCAGGGCTTAATCACCCATACATGTCAGAAAACATTTCATTCCAAATCTTTGCAGGTCTACTTCTCTCTCTAAACAAATTTAAGAAGTCCTTAATTATGTTAAAGGTACATTGTAATAAAAAGTTTCTGGAATTTTTGAAAATTGGATGATGGTGATTCTTTTCAATTTTGATATATTTTGATGCCCCTGTGGATGTAATATAAGCACTAGAAAATTTAGCCCCTAAAACACTTCTGCTTTCGAGAAAAATTGAATATAAAAATTTACCGGTGCTCCCGGTAAATTTTGATGAATTTCAAATAGTGAAACATTGTTTTATAGCTAAATTAATCTCTTGACCTTGAGAGCGAGTTATACAACATAAAGAGTTTATTATTTATAATTTCATAACTTTAGAATCGATTTCAAACGTGACAACAATCACTGAATATTGTAGGGTCGCATATGCTTCCAATATGTTGATTTGAACCAAATTCATGACCCCATACCAAAACTTTGGATGAAACAAAGAATACTTCTCCCTTCCTCTCTCACGATTTCTAGAAAGTTCAGTTTTTGCCCTTTCATATGACACCTCAATCAGGAAAAATGAGTCAGGAATAACAAAGTTCTGTTTGTTTAAAACGATGCTTGCATTTCCATAATTTGATTTTAATAGTTCGTTTTCACTGGCCGTCTGCCATAGCAACAAGCAGAATTGACAATCGGCCATGCATGAAGTCTTTCGTCTATATAGCTGATCGTCAACGAAACAGAGTTAAGTCTTTTGACCATACCCTTTGTTGCTACGCATACGACAGGCAGCCAGTGAAAACTAATTTGTTTAATAAAATTATGGAAATATAAGCATCCATTTAAACAAACAGGGCTTTGTTATTCCTTACTCATTTTCCCTGATTGAGCTGTATATGTAAGGGCAGAAACTCTACTTCCTACATATGTGAATTTTTCTTCGAAATTCAGATACCGCCCGCCAAATGACTTTTTGGTTTCCTTCCTCCTGTTCCTTTAAATTGATTTTAATCACGTTTATGCGTGAAATATGCATCATATCAGTTGCATCAAATGAAAGAGGAGGATCTAAGCTTTACAATATGTGTCATTTATTAATCATAGTTGTGATTAAGTTATGATAAAACATCAATATTTCTGGGTTTTGTTTTTTTCTGGGACGCACTGTGTATAGGCCTAGCTGGACTCGTGTCTCACTCGACGCCACTCCAGCAAAGCATAGAGAGTCAATGCTAATGCGTATTGACCTCTAGCACTGCATACTTGCTGTGAGGCAGGAATTTTTAGACCTACCGGGTATACACAAATATACACACCACACAATATCGCATAGACTAAACACAGTCTAGACCGAATTTTCCTTCTCTTTCGTTCGTTAAGCCTCTTATTTGGGTAGGGTCGGCTCTCTCTTTAGAGACGGAAACCGACTATACGCATTCCCTTGCTAACACCATGGCCATTTATGGCCATATTTTTATGCCCCGAAAATCCCCCCAAATGTCATTTTACCTCGTGCATATCCAATTTATTATTTTTTCTAAATTAGGCCTAGGCTATAATACATCGGTTCCACTTACCAACTTGACTGAAATAATCCGTTTAATGGTCCCTTTTGGGGAAATTATGGGTCAAAATCAACATCCATGTTGAAAATCTTGCAAGCCGTCTTTTAACTCTCGCTGCGCATGACGTCATCTAAATCTCATCCCTTTCTACGCCGAAGGCAAAATGATTATGAAGAAAAACTGTGATAACGCCATTACGATCTTGTAGCTCGCGCAGTTTTTCCTTTATAATCATTTTTCCTTGGGCGTAGACTAGAAGGGATGAGATTTAGATGACGTCATGCGCAACGAGAGTTAAAAGACGGCTTGCACGATTTTCAACATGGATGTCGATTTTGACCCATAATCTCCTAAAAAGGGACCATTAAACAGATTATTTCAGTCAAGTTGGTAAGTGGAACCGATGTATAGCCTAGATCTAAACCTAATTTAGAAAATAGAATAAATTGGATATGCATGAGGTAAAATGACATTTTGGGGGATTTTCAGGGCATAAAAATATGGCCATAAATGGCCATGGTGTTAGCAAGGGAATGCGTAGTCTGTTTCCGTCTCTAAAGAGAAAGCCGACCCTACCCAAATAAGAGGCTTAACTTAACGAACAAAAGAGACAGAAAATTCGGTCTACACACAGTCATGCCAATGCGGCTGTAAGCAAAGTTTGACAGTAGATAGACTTACAAAATACAAATTACAATTTGAATTTTTAAATTATTCTTTTTAATTTAACATCAGTAGATTTAGACCTCTAGATTTATTTTAAGTTGCAAAAAATGTATTTTACTGCTATTTAGGTGTCATCAATTGTCCCTAAAGTACCGATTTTCAGTGAAATCAGTTGAGTTTTGTACAGTGGTGTATAGTGTGCTCGACGCCATCGCACATTCGACAACGAGCACTCCTCAAAATCAGTATGTGGGACCGAACCTGCACTTACCAATAGTCAAGGCATTACCAGCTCACTGTGTCTTGAATTTGAAACACTCCAGTTCGGCGTCATATATTGGGCTAGTCTGGACTCTAGAGCTCCGGGGAGAGATTTATGGACAAGATTTCGTAGTCTGGAATTTACGTTTCCCAACTCAACAGATCTCAACAGAGACATGGATTATGGTGGTATCATCTTGGAGACACGAGTCTTTACCTCGCAACTCAATGCTGCTAGAAATGCGTATAGCGAATAGGGCGTGTACTTGTACTGTAAGTCCATGGTGTATGTATGTGTACACAATGTGCAGCTCCTAAACGTCAGTTGACACGCTCGCGCTCCTGAGAGAGAGAGAGAGAGAGAGAGAGAGAAGGACAAGAAGGGAAAGAGGAGAGAAAGGGAAAGAAAGAAGAGGAAGAAGAAAAGAAAAGGGGAAAAAGAAGGAGATCGGGGCCGGGGCGGGGCGAAAGGGCCTTGCCTCCCATCTGGTTCCTCCCTCCCCCCCCCCCCATAAAAAAAAGTGATCGAGAAGGGAAAGAAAAAATGAAAAGAGGAGATAAAGGGTAGGAAAAAGGAGGAAGAAGAAAAGAGAAGAAGGAGGATATCAGTCGCAATTTTCCCGGGAACAAGTTGTAGTTCGGGGGCCAAAAGGCCCTTGCCTCCCCCCCCCTAACAAAAAGTGGGGAGGAAGGGAGAGGGAAAAAGGAGAGCTAAAAGGGAACGAAAAAGTGGAAGAAGAAAAGAAAAGGGTGAAAAGAAGGGTAGAACAGTTGCGATTGATCCCGCCAACAACGTGTGGATCGGGGGGGGGGGGGCGCAAGGCCATTTCCTCCCCCAGCAAACCTAAAACAGGGAGAAGAAAGGAAAACGAAAGGAAAAGAGGAGAGAAAGGGAAAAAGATAAAGAAGAAAGGAAGGGGAGATCAGTGGGGGTGGGGGGGGGGGGCCCACTTGCGTACTCATTTCGGGGGGGGGGTGACAGATGCCCCTAAATATAATTCAAACGTGGTTTATTTTTAATTCGATACCGGTGATTTACAAATGTTGCTGAAATGACATAATTTTTCGAGATTTTTCGAGATTTTTCCTCGATGTTTAGTAAATTATACTTTTGTATGCGTTTGTTGGCAAATGGCACATCAAGAAAGTATATAAACCTGCCTTTGTCACAAAATAATAAGGTGTCAAAAGTTGCTCATCTGACGGTAATTTAATGCCCAAAATCCTGAGCTCCTGGGGGCTCCGCCCCCTGGACCCAACTCCAATTAGTGACCTGCCAGTGTCACAAAGGTATATAATAATGTTCATCTGACCGTACTAAAAGTCCTTAAACCCATGAGCCTCCGGGGCTGCGCCCCCTCGACCCCACCTAAGGCGGGCCCCTGCATGCTTATCTGACCGTTTTAAAATGTCTAAAACCCCTGAGCCTCAGGAGGCTCCGCCCTCTGCACCCCATGCGAATTCGTGAACTGCCAGTGTCACAAAAAAGGTATAAAAATATGCTTATTTGACCGTAATTTAATGTATAAAACCACTGAGCTTCTGGGGGCTCCGCCCCCTGGACCCCACACCAATTCGTGACCTGCTAGTGTCACAAATAAGGTGTAATAATATGCTCATCTGGCCTTAACTTAATGCCCAAAACCCCTGAGCTTTCGGGGGCTACACCCCCTGGACCCCACACCATTTTTTTAAACATTATTTTACATTACTATGGCGATGTATTTTCTGTCATGCATTATAATTTGATTGGAAATTATGCCATCTCTCCTTCTCTATCTCTCCCCTTTCCCTTTGGACCCTTACCAACTCTCCCTATATTTCTCTCTTTTATCAGTCCTTCGAGCTTGAGCTCTCTATTCCTTTCTCTTTCTGCTCGTATTTCGATTGTGATGCTGCTCCTATTTTACTTTCATATTCACATCATACCTGAATTTATTCATGATGTGATTCAGAATTGTATTTAAAATCCTTGCTATGTATAAGTCATATAATTACTGTCTTGTCATGTTTTGTGCTGAAAGCCGGAGGACCGTACCTGCTCATAGAATTTTTTCTTATAGAGTCTTGACGCCCTTCTGCCTTTCAGCACACGACACCATGTTTTTGTCTTATGTTTTATGTATTACATGTTACACCAATGGAAAAAAAAATCTGTATTATAATGGACAATAAAATCTTGAATCTTGAATCTTGAATTTTGTGTCCTGCCAGTGTCACAAATAAGGTATCAAAATATGCTAATCTGGCCGTAATTTATTGCCCGAAACCCCTGAGCTTCTGGGGGCTCCGTCCCCTAGACCCCTCGCCAATTCTTGACCTGTCAGTGTGAGTGAGTGAGTGATGGTGATTATTTTACCTGACTGCTAAGAAAGCATAAATGCTTGTAGGTAAGCAACCAAACAGCCGAAGCACAGTGGGCCAGGGAGGAACCAAAGTGCGCCAAAACTAGTTTTTGGGGTATTTATCTTTTATAAATCCAGAGGAAATGTTTGGATTTCCAGGAATTTCCGCTTAAATTTTATTACCAACATTTTCTCTGATGTCTAAGCTTTAATTTGATAACAGATTTGGCTGCCCGATTCTGCCCGTTATTGTGTTAGAGCCGTTTTCCTTGCAACATTGCACCGAAAAATGTGTTTATTTTGGTACGCGCGGTGTCAGAACGTGTCACTCGCCCCCACGCGCCGTGATTTATGATTTATGACCGCGAATCCTTCATGATTCAGCCGCGGACCTAAACAAAACTTTAGACATCAGAGAAAATGGTGGTATTAAAATTAAAGCGGAGTTCTGAGGAGATTTAAACATTTTCTTTGCATTTATAAAAAACATGGATAATTAGTCCATTTTTCAGTGAATTACCCTATAGTATATCATGAAGATTGTGTTTCTATCATTTTAACCCATTGATGCAACGAAATGAACTATCAGGAATAATTTTATGTGAAAGCAATTTCATATCAATAACTTAAAAACTACATGTTAAATTGAAAGATTAATAAAATAAGTCACTTTTGCACTAAAACTGTGAATATGTAGGATTTTGCTGTTCGAAGGAGTAAATTTATACTCTTAATGTGCATACCGGGATTAAATATTTTACTGAGGTATTCCTCAATGTATTACCTTTCAACTGGGCAAGACAAAACTTGGAGAGAAAAAAAATCACCAAAAATGAGTTTTGGCGCACTTTGGTTCGTCCCTGGCCCACTGTGCGATGGCTTTAGGTCCTCTCTGAAAGACCTGGTAATGAGGATTAATGCCTTACCAAGGGGCTAGTGCATCGACTTGGTTTCGAACCCGGGTCACCGGATTATACGAGACCACTGCTCTACCAACTGACCTATCGCGCCTCCTATCGCGCCAGTCTCACAAATAAGGTATCAAAATATGCTCATCTGACAGGAATTAAATGCCTATACCTCTTGAGCTTCTGGGGGCTCCACCACCTGGACTCCCGCAGGGGCTTCGCCCCTAGACCCCACGCTAATTTACGCAACGCTCTACCTGATCGTAAATACCTACCCCCCCCCCCCACCACAAACTTAGAGAAACGTTCAGCGGGGCCTGCATGAAGAGTGGGGTGGTGAGGATTGTTTTGTCTAGCACACCCCCCCCCCCCGTCCCCAAACGTTTATGCTCATTTCGCCACTGCCGGTGTCACCAATACGTACCAATATTTTGGCTCGCATAATTTCAAATTTGGGCCCCCCTAAGAAATCCTGGATCCGCGACTGCATAGCCCCCCCCCCCCCCCCCACTCAGAACTGGGAACATAATTATGCGTGTTCCCATCAACCCCCCCCCCCCCCATTTTCAGCATAAGTCCGGTGTGTATTCAATACGGGCAGATCTTGTTCTTTGATTTTGGGAACACGCATTCGGTCCCTCAGTTTACTAACATTTTTTGGCTTCGGTTAAGATTTAAATTCACAGTGACCTCGAAAATGTATGGTTCAGCGTAGTGCTGCTGTGGCGGAAAAGAAATTATACACATTATTTAAAGGGACTGTCCCATCTGCAGGCCAAAAAATGAAAAGGTTAAACTCCAACGGCATTTGAAAGATTATACTAATTTAGATCTTCCCTAAACAAAATAAGGGGGCTTGAAAATGTCTTTAATTTGGAAAATAACGGCTATTATTTGTTGAATTGACTTAATAGCTATGGAGCCAGTAAACTTAACTGTTATGACCCCCAACTTTCGACCTTCCCCCGATTACCCCTCCCCCCCCGGCTCCGGGGTTTTAGGAATTAAATTACCGTCAGATTAGCGTCCAGGGGTCCGCTTTAGGGCCTTAGGTGGAGTTCAGGGGGAAGAGCCACCGGAAGTTGGTTTTAGGTATTCCATTATACGGTCAGATGAGCTTTTTTGTATACCTTATTTGTGGCACTGGCAGGACACTAATAGGCGTGTACACAGGGGGCACATCGCCTGGAAGCTTCCCAAGGGACTGGAACATCCTTTCTCTCTTATTGAAGCCCAACATTCCTTATGCTTTGAAATCTGTGCTTGAAAACAACTTAAAACCAGTACCTTAAGTCGATGGCCGCACATGACGCCTCATTCCAGGTTAAACACCTTTACGTCGTCTTGGAGGAATCCTACCAAGAGAAGCTTAGGGGTTTAAGGCATTTAATCACGATCAGATTTTGATACCTCCTTATTTCGTGACGCTGGCAAGTCACTATTCTTTCTTTATTTCTCTCTTTAATATACATTTTTCAAGAGAAGTAAGGGGAGTTCGAGGCACTCGAGCCACGTCGTTCCGAGGAAAAATCTCGGAAAATTAGGTCATTTTAGCAACATTAATTTTGTAAATCACCAGTATCGAATTTGAAATAAACCACGTTTGAATTTTATTTGGGAGCTACTTCTTCCCCTAAGCCCCCTATCAGTACGCGAGTGCCCCCCCCCCCCCGGAATCTACACCTTGTTGGCGTGAAAATTGCAACGATTTCCCCTATCTTTTTTCTGGCTCTTTTTTAAACTTTCCCTTTCTCTCCTCTTTCCCTTTCCCTTCCCTTCCCTTTCTTCTCTCTCTTTTAGGTTTGCTGAGGGGGGTCGCAAGGGCTCTTTAGCCTTCCCGACCCACGTGTTGTTGGCGAGATTTATCGCAAATGATCTCCTCTTCTTTTCACCCCTTTCTATTCTTCTTCCTCTTTTTTGTGCTCTGTTAGCTCCCCTCTTTCCCTTTCACTCCCTTCTCTCTTTCTTTTTGGCTGGGACGGTTGGGGGAGAGGCAACATCCTGGGAGGCTAAGCCCTTTCGGCCTAACCCCCCCCCCCCCGATCTACTTCTTCTTCCTCATTCACTTTCTCTCCTCTTTTCCTTTCCCTTCTTTTCCTTCTTTCTCTCTCTTTTTTGTTGCGGCCTGGCTATAATTATGTGTGAGGTTTACATATGCTGTTTGTAGCATACTTTTATTGGTACTTTAGGCCTATATTATATAGCTTTTGATCCATCCAAAACACACATTCGAAGAATTATATGACAGAATGAAGTCAACAAAATTGAATCTTAGAATTTATACAGAATAATGCAGCTATTTCCATGATAATACGATAGGTTAAATACATATCAAAGATTTACATTTAACATATGTTTTTTTGTTTTTTTGTAATCTATTAAAAAAAAAAGCTACGTTATATTAAAAATATGAAAGTTTTAACTGAATATTCATCTTGCCATAAAGAGTGAAATATGCATAGGCCTATTATTAATGCCTAAATGGATTACCAAAAAACAAACAAGCTTTAACAAACAAACAAATAAAACAATAACGTGCAATTTCTGTCATTGTTTTGTATTAATAGGTCCTACATAAATGTGTCAAGTTTCTTAGCAACACAAAATATCAAAAAAGTCACTTTTATCATAGATTACCAAAAAGAAAAACCCAGCTATAATACAAACAAACGAATCAATCAACAACGTGAAATTTATGTAAATGTTACAACATTGTTTTTTTTTTTAAAGCAGACACTAAATATCAACGACTTACATGTTTTTTTTTCTTTTCTTTTCTTTTTCTTCCTCATTTTTTTCCTTCTTCCTAGCTACATATTGTCTATTTATTGATCTATAAGCATACTTTGTTCATGTTTTATTGTAAAATTTGCATCTGAGGAACTAACACTTCAACAAGCTCTGCTTCAAGTTAGTTCCTCTTTTCTCGTGCTATTTCCACTATATTTATCGTTTCATTACATATTTGTTGTGATATAATTATTTTTGTATTATGTTTTGCATGAGAAATAAAAATCAATCATTTCATTTCATTTCTTGGAAACACTAGAAATAAAATCAGTCTTTAAAATACTAAGTATGATGTTGCTGTATAAATACAATTTATGATATATTATACAAACAAAAGCTAATACAAACCATCACTCACGTGCAGTTTATGTCATTCTTATAGCATTGGTTTTGTCATAATAGGCCCTACATTTTAATGCATTGCATGTCAAAATACATACCATTACCTTGTCATAATCGTGATCTGGGGCCCGTTTCATAAAGAGTTCATATAAATTGCAACCCAAAATCGCAACTATGTACATAAGAGATCGGAGACTGCAAGCTTGCGATTGATGGGAGGACTTGCGATTGATTTGGATCAATCGTAACTCTTTGTAAGACGGGGCCCTGATCAGGGGACTGACTCAAGCGAATTTTTTTTTTAATTTTTTTTTAATTTTTTTTTTTTTTACTGTATTTGGTGACTTTCATATCTTTTAATATGCTTTGACGAGTGACGACATATACGTGGCTAGATTTCTCAATTTTGTAGTTATTATTTTCAAAGAAATATAATTTGTGTGTGGCATATAGAAATCTAAGCAAACATCACCCCCCCCCCCCCTGTTTTAGGTTCTATTTAATGTTAAGAATGCTAACAACTGGCATTGTAATGTAATTAAGCCTTCTAGTCAGAATAAAAGTCGAATTGGCTTCAAATCGCAAACAATCACAAATACAGTCACCACTAGTCTGACGTCACTACGATTCAGAGCCGATATAGTTTTGCCTTCTCCAAGGAAGCATGAAATCCTAATTTAAGATTTGTTTATCATATTATAGAATGCTCATTATGTGAACGCTAATTCACAGTTCTTCAAAATTTTGATCGCAGTCAGATCGTGTAGTGTTCGTTGGCTTAATTAGAACTAATCTGGATACATTTATAGATTTAGTCTTACATATTAAATTTACAAGCAATGTACACAGAAATATGTTTATGAGACTATACACGAACATTTGGCGTAACAACCAGTCCTGATTTTTATGCTGTTATACATGAAATATTTAGAATATTAAGGCATTTGAAGAGCCATGCTTTCAGGAAACATTTGTTATCTGATGTTTTTCCAGACTTGTATAATAACAATGATAATGCTCACAAATTATTGTTCACTCTTCCCAGAACTCAACCTTCTCTTAAATCAGCGTGACGAATTAAGGCGCGAGTTTGGCCATGATTCGTTTATAATATAAAGCGATAAACCGCTGCAGATAAGTGAATGGCAACTGCGCGCAACAAAGTTCCTATGCGTACTAACTAAGCTCTGTCTTATATAAGATACGTAAATGAAAAGCGCGTTACATGTAAGTCATAAAAACAAAGAGAAAACAAATTAAAGAGATGTGTAGTTACTTGAACGTTCTAAGGTCACACTAAGGGAGTTAACAGATAGCACATGGTACAAATGACCCCAAATATCCACAGATCTTTTACACATGGAGAAGTTCCACTTTGAGAATCTTAGAATAATAACTGCCAAAGTCCTAGATGTGCTTCATGAATACCTTTTGTTTGACCTCATGAAAAGAATACTTCCACCTGCGTATCATAGAATGTACCTTTGGTGCATAAATGAATAATGTTACATAACTTTCATGAGCGCATATCCAGTATTCATCTCTGTGGGTTTTACCATTTTGGTACAAATGACCTTTATCTGCCCATGCGCAGATTGTATCTATGAACTGGCTCATTGTTTATGAATATAAATATATTGTAAATACTCGGCATGTTTCGCGAGCTCTGATAACAATGACAATGTGCAGCTGCACATTCTGAACATTCTTTTAGTTAATTTCATCTACGGATCCACCCAGCAACAAGGGTGTTATTTTAGTGACTCCAATCAGACGGCATGCGCATGCATCTTGTCATTTTAATAAGCCAATCACCACACACGAATTTTACGTCACTCCTCGATCCTGATTCAGTTTTGGGACTCGGATGTGCCGATTTTACGAAGAGTTCGACTTCAGTGATTTCCAGTGACAACAAGCGTTATTTCAACAGTTTCATTTAATATCGTGTTTTCACCTTCTGGCTAATTTCTACACCATTCATTGCTACAGGTATTTTTTTCAACGGGACAATTAAGTGCAATATTGAACTGTAAAGGAAACCTCGCGTCTGTGTGTATCTTCTTCACTCGCGTTCGCGGAGCTATATACTAGCTCGCGCTTAACTCCAGGTGTGTGTTGCTGAGTCTTCGCCTCGCTATATACAATCCTCCGATCCACTGCATACTTCCTTCCCAGTTTCTTACTCCCGCCATTACTATCCGCTCGGACTTCTAGTAGTAACGGTAAGAATATACATTTTGTTTTATTAGAAATGATTATTTCTACAGATGCAAAGTGCAACAATCAAAGTTAACAGAGAGAAGGACAAACAAAAAAAAAGCAAAAAACAACAACGGTTTACCGCGTCATTTGTGAACGGAGCTTCATAGGCTCAACAGTTTTTTGAATACGAGAATGTTTTCTCCATCGCTAAGAATCATTTTCCCTGATGATGTCATCATTACGCGAGATGATAGAAGGTAACCCTTCTTATTCATATCCCTAGTTGATAGAGGGAATGATGCTACTCTTCTCTGCTTCAAATCGCCCTCACTCATCACCTGATCAATCGCACAAGTCATCTCCTCATCATCAGATGTCACGACGTAGAGGTCGTCTGTCATAGGATCGATGCAGGCATTCAGGATTACATCACTGTGGGGGATTTCCCGTTGAGCACCCTGTCTGTCGATGATGAACACTCTGTGATCTGGTGGTGAGAGTCGAGCGATGATGTGACCTGATGATAGTACACCATGCATCCTTATTGTATTCTCGTTACATGTGATAGTGTTCATGATCTTACCATCAGCCTGGTTGATGATGTATATCTTAGACTGAGCCCACTCAGCAGCGATGATCATCCCATCCTGGTCAACAGCTACATCGACCCATGTTATATCATCCGTTATGTTTATTGGTATTGCGACGTCATTGATGTGTTTCCATTGTCTGTCAAATACACTGATGTATCCAGTCAAACGTTCCCCTGTACACTCTTTATGCCATTTACCGCATACTACCGTCCCATCATTCAGCAATGCGCAGGAGACAACCCATGATGTATCGCTACTGGTTATCACTCTCTGATTGTGTTTAGTTTTCAGATTTAACATGTATGTATGTAGGCTACTCTGTAGTCTATCTGAGATGATCACATTGTATTCATCTAAGCATCCTACAATGTACGGGAATGTGATCTTATCTTTGACATTGATTGTATCAATGAGCTTCCACTCCCCATCATACCAATCAATTCTCCCATCATACTTCGGTCTCCCAGCACCCTTCACAAACCTCACACCCGATATGGTACGAGTGATTTGTTTCACCTCACCCTCATTCAGTGGTTTCTGTAATTCACCCACTGATGTCTTCACACGATGCCCATCTTTGACGACATTTGTATCATTTTTAAGTACTGTGTCTAGTGTCTGTATTGCATTCTCTGTGGTTTTCGTGTCATCTTGCCATGTTTTCTCCAATTCCACAATCTTTTTGTCTTTCACTTCAGCGATATTTGTAATGTCTGTTTGAAGACAATGCTGTTTCTTGTTGATTGGTTCCCGTCTTTTCTCTGCATTTTTACGGTTCAATTCAAGTCGCCTCCCTCTCTCCTCATCGTTCTTTCGAATCTCCTCTTTGAGTTTCTGATTCTTCTCATCAATCTCCTGGTTGATTTTTGCAGCATCCTCCTTTTCTGTGTCTTTGTCTGTTTGGATCACCTCATTGATTACCGAATCAACTTCATCTTTCAAAGCTTGAAGATGGGTGTCGGTGTCTTTCCTACACTGGCGAATCAGATCTCCATAAGCTCGACAAAGCTTTAATTTGTCCTTAGCCTTTTCTTTCAGAATGTTTAGTTTTGCTTTGTTTTCCATGATCGCGCCCTCTATACCCTGTTTCAAACAAGGCTGCAACTGATGATCTATCATTGCGCATAAATAACACAGTGCTACACCGTGCGTTTTGCAATACAATTCAATATCTTTATCATGCTTCGCACAATACAGATTGGACCCACCCTTTCTTGCTTTTCCGATGCATCCTTCTTTGGTGGCGCAATCCTCGCAAAGCTTCTTCTTCTCCTTCACGTAGTACGTCACATCTGTGATTGCCTCACAGTTCTTTCCTTCACAGATGTCCTCTGCAGAGCTGAATTTAGCCGCCATGCTGATCACAATATTGTCCTGTATAACAAAGCCGAAGTAAATAATGATAACGTTAATAATAATAATGATAATGATAATGATAATGGTTAAAAAGAATAACAATCATTCGAATTGTGGTATTATTATATTATACAGTGTGTCCCAGAAAAAAACGAAACCGGGAATAATTATCGATGTTTTATCATAACTTAATCACAATATAATTCATAAATGAGCCAGGAATACTGTGACAAAGTTTTTTTTTGCCCGGGTCTGTTTGTTAAAAGTTATGCTTGCATTTGCATAATTTTATTAAACGCTTTCGTTTTCACGGGCTGTCTACCCTAACAACAACAAAAACGAAAGATTTCCTGTATGGCTGATCGTCAACGAAGCGAAGTTTGTTGTTTGTTTCTACGGCAGGCAGCCAGTGAAAACGAATTCGTTTGATAAAATTATTAAAATCAAGCATTACTTTAAATAAACAGAACTTTATGATCCCTGGTCCATTCTTCCCGATTGAGGTGTCATAATTATGAAAGGGCAGAAAATGAACCTTTGGGAAATGCGATTTTCTCTTTGAAATTTAGATACCGTCCGCCAAATGACTTGTTGGTACCCTTTCTTCGAATGTCCTCAATCACACATGCGTGAAATGTGCATCATAGGGCGCGTTCATGCTTGATTTTGAAGGCAGAATGAGCGATTTGTAACGCTCATCGTAAACGCTCATCGTAATCGCAGTTCCACGGTGCACTGTTCATGCTCACTTCTCCAGGCAATTCTCCTTGGGTGGCCTTCAGCTTGATTCGCAAACCTGTGTGCGCATGCTACGTAGACCCACTAGAGGTCAGTGCGTTGACCCCATTTACACGCGTTTACAAATTGTAAACGCATCTTTTTGTGAGTTTACGATCGGCGATCGTGATCGCCGTTTTTCGGTGATTCTACAAAAGTGAGCATGAACGCAATCGTGTTTTAAACTAAACGCGTAACAGATGCCTGATTCTGGCCGTCAAAATCAAGCATGAACGCGCCCATAGTTGCATCAAAATGAATAAGGGGATCTAACACTATAAACATGACGGACAAAGAAAGCGAACAAGATATACAGTAAGTTCCTCATTCTACCCTCAACAATTGTTGTGGTAGACAAAGGAACATCCCTTCACTGCTATTACGTAAAAATAAGTAGCACAGGTGAATATGCATGTGACACCTGTTATACAGATTTTTTTACATAACAGCAGTGAAGGGATGTTCATTTGTCCAACACAGCAATTGTTGAGGGTAGAATGAGGAACTGTATATTTTCCCTCTTTCTTTGTCCGTCATGTTCATATAGTAAGCTTTACAATTATGTGTCATGTATTAACTACAATTGTGATTAAGTTATGATAAAACATCGGTAATTCTCGGTTTCGTTTTTTTCTTGGACACACTGTATAATAACAATAATACTATAATTACTAAATATATTATGGATACAAATAATGATAATAATAGTAACATTGATAACAGTGGGTTGAGCTGTAGAGTTCATGAGTGTCAGACAGAACCATCCTGATACTTCACAATATTTACATGCATCAACAGATATAATATAGGCCCTAGGGAGAGAGACAGAGGGGGAGGCGGAATTCCGATAAAGATGGGAAAAACTTTGGGAAAGGAAGACCGTGCAATGGGTTCATAAATTGGGACGACAGACAGCAAAAGCAATAAGTGGGGAAGGTAGAGATGGAGAGAGATAGGGAGAGAAAGAGAGAGAGAGAGAGAGAGAGAAAGAGAGAGGGGAGGGATAGAAGGCAAAGGCGAGAGAGGGAGAGAAGATGTAACATTAAATGAAATTCGTTCTTTTAATAAATCCTTTTACATTATAGCAAAAACTTATTTTTTATTTTTTTAATTTCTCTCTCTCAGGATGATAAATAACATGCCCCAGCTCACTGTATTTTTTTTTTCCTCTCGATCCAAACTTATACTCATTACATTCTCATTTCATAGTCGTTTTATACTCATTTCATAACCGTTTCATCAATTTTTCTTTTACTTCTGTGTTTACGATAATATATTGTCCACAACCCCATCAAATCGACCCAGCTCACTTCCTACATGTAGTTGTGTTCTTACCTTCGTATTTTGAATTCCGAAGAAAGTTCACCTCTTCGATTGGCTGTCCTTCGATGTTTAAACTTCGCCTGAAGAAGATGTATTCGATAATGTACTGATGATTTGTACAAATTAAGATGGCGTCTAAATGTTTACCATCCAAACTAAACCGAACCTGACACCGCAATTGGCTTTTCAATTTGAAAAGATACTTTTCACGCACGCATGCTCACAATGTCGTGCAGAAAAAACGCACCCGCAAGTAGAGAGAACAAATATGTACCATTGTCACATGATGCAGATTTATTGACCTCGCTGCACTTTGAAATTAGATCAACATGAAAATGTGAATAATATTTCAGCGTTACACATGATAACGAATGCATTGGGCCCATTCACAAAGCCAGTCGAAGCTGATGATGTGTGTATGTGTGTGCATGTGTTGAAGTGAGGGGGGGGGGGGGGGGGTCGCCGCTATGATTTTATAGCCAGAGAATACTGTACCATCATGCACTGTTTCATAATAATTTTGTAAAACGTCATTAATGTCGATGTCTCTCTCTCTCTAACTCTCTCTCTCTCACACACTTTTTTCATATCTGTCTCTATTCACACTTGCCCACCTCTGTCTCTCGCTGTCTCTCTCTCTGTATCTCTGTCTCTCGCTTTACATAATTATCTTTCTTTATCTTTCCTTTCTTGCTCACTAGTTGTACATATTTCATTACTGACATCATTCTAATTCTCTCTCTCTCTGTCTGGAGAGATTGAAATCAGTTTCTTTCTAAAAACTAAAGAGGCAAGTAGATAGAACAAAATACCATTATCACATGATGCAGATTTATTGACACGAGATAACTCCGATGCACTTTGTAATAAGATTGACGGATGAAAATGTGAATAACTATATTTCATTAACATTTCTCTCTCTCTCTCTCTCTCTCCTTTATCGCTCACTCTAATTGTACACATTCTAACACTGACATCATTCTAATTCTGTATCTTTGTTGCTGTCTCTCTCTCTCTCTCTCTCTCTCTTTCTCTCCCTCTCTGTCTGGATAGATTGAAATCAGTTTCCTTCTAAAAACTGAAGAAACACAACTGAAAGACCCCACGTGTAACAATGAAACCCGTCACAAATGCAATCAAAGCTGGATTGTTAAAAGTTCGGGTGGAATTATTATTCATAATATTCGTGTTTAAAGTCTCGCCATTATCGCAGTTTACACGAATTTGAGCGGCATGCACGTATACCGTTGTTCTAAAGTCCGGACTTTACCACACGGACTGCTCGTAAGGACTATATCGTTAGACTTGCTAATCAGCAATTTATAGTTCATTATTCCTCAAATATCATCATACAAATAATGCACTGTTGCGAGTGTGTTATGCCTCGGTCACACCTTTGCGTATTTGGCTTGCGTATTGCGTATTGCGTATTGCCAGAACGCATACATACCCGGTCATAACCATTACTATCAGGGTATCATGTTTAAGCCCTGCCATAAACAATCTTTATATGTTAGTTTTCACACCTTTCTTTAGTATTCTCAACATTCTCTTGCACACCCAATTTCCAAATGATATGACTTTTTTTTTCCATATTGTTTCTTAATGTCCGAGTTTCTGCTCCATACAATAGAACAGACAAGACTCAGCAATGGACCGGTTTACTTTCATGGATGTTTCTTTGCTAATGAACTACAATAATCGGAATGAAGTCTACATACATTATGTGTTGCTATGTCGGGAAAGCCTCAGGCAAGCTTTCGGGTTGTCAAGAACAACCTTTGTTAAACAAAGATAAGACTCATTCTTAGTTCAATTTCACCTTTCTTGCTGTCAACAGGTTTTCCATTATCATCTAACCCGAGCCTTAAAGCTATAACATCTCACCAAATCTTTTATTTATTTATCCTTAGAATTCTTCTTCAGAACCAAATTTCTGCTGTTTGGATTCTGCTGTCCAGGGATTTATTTAACTTCAAGCTCTTACACTTTTGCAGATTTTAGTAGTAATTTTTAGATTTTTAGATGAGATTTCTTAGCATATTTCCCATTTTGGTAAATGACTCCTTTGCAATTGCAATTATTTTTTGACTTCTGCATCACTCCTCCTATCTAAGGTGATTAAACCTCCAAGGTAGCAGAATTTGCCCTCTTGTTTCTCTATCTCATTATATGTATATTCTCTCTCTCTATTTCTCTTTCCCTTCTTTTTTCTTTCTCACATTCTCTTCTCTGTCTTCTCTCTCTACTTTCACTATCTTACCGTCCTCCCTTTATCTCTATTCTCTTTCTTTCTTCCTTTCTTCCTTTGTTTTTTGTTTTCATCTTCCTCCCTTTTCCATTTCTCTCTCATTAAAACTTTGTGTTTACTTTTATTTCTCTGTAATTGTCTTTCTCTTTTATTCTTGGTTTATTTCATTCTAGATCTCTATTTCTCCACCCCCTTGTCTCTCTCTCTCTCTCTCCGTCTCTCTCACACACACATACCTCTTTTTAAAATCCTATTTTGATATTTTCTTTCTCCAGCGCACATTTAGTAATTTCGATGTGAATATTGACAAATACACAAATGCGAGCATTATAATTTGATGACAGATTTTTTTTAAAAATCTTTCTTGGCCAAACTTGGCCAGTATCACGTCACATTTTTGTACTCTCAATTCATCACTTCGGGGACAGAGAAAGGACATTTGTGTCGAACAGGAATTTGAACCCTCCACTCTTGGACTGAGCTATGGGAGTCTAGCGAATGAATCTATATAAAATCCAATAGATTGATATGATATTTGCCAAGAGAAAATATATATGGACGAATCTTAGAAATACTAGTACGACGCAGCTATTTATATTTCATGACAATGCATCTTGAATGGCTTTTTGAATAACAATACTTACATCAACCTTGATTGAAACTTATCTCAATATTCAACTTTTTTCTATCAAGGGTAGGATAGCTTTAAATAATGTAAGGACAAATGTGAACGAATCTTACAAATATATTATAATGTAGCTATTTACATTTAATGTATAATTGTGTGGATAGCAATACTGTAGAAACTTTCGATTCGTCTCTCAAAATTTCATCTAAATATCAACATGTCTGATGGCAACCTACAGTATGATCAACACATTTGAATCCTGCCGAATTATTATTATAATGCAGCTATTGACATGCTATTAGCACATGATAGATCAAGAAACCATTTAAAATATTTCGTTGTTATTTGTCATTATAGAGTATTTGCATTTCTATCAAAATAAGATGTCAAAGATTAAAGCTTATCTGCCATAGTTTACAGGAGGGATTAGACCGCCCTACAAGGTAACTGGACATGTGGTTATCTCATCAACTCAGCTCTCAGTTAACATAAGAAAAAGAGGATCATGGGGGACAAATGGTCACCGATTAAGCGTTGTTTGTTATATAGAGGGCGCAAGTAGCTACAAGTAGTGCAGTGGACCTTTAAGATGTATTTTAAGAAACAGAGGAAAAGATGAAAATGATAAAGGTGTTGTGGTCCAGTGGATAGGTCTCAGGACTATAAACCACAAGTTCGAATCCCTGTAACAACACTAACGTCCTTTGGCAAGACGTTAATCTATATTGTGCCACACTCTTCCTATGTGATGTAAATGAGTACCTGGTAGGATTATCATATTTTACGGCTGCTGGAGCTAACTAAAGCTTGAGCAATATTTCTTTTTGGTAAACATAGGTCCAAAGCTTGCAAAGAAAATACCAGCAGTGAATTCTGACTTTACAAAATATTTAGGATATAGAACAGAAAACGCACTTAAAAAAAAAACAATAACAGAGAATGAAGTGAAATGCTACTTACAGACTTTAGATACAAACAAACGCATGTGGATATGATAATTTGCCTGCAAGATTGTTAAGGGATGCTACTCTATACATTTCAAGCTCATTATTAACATAAATGTTCAAGATTTCCATAGAAAGAGGTAAATTTTCTGAAAGTAGCAAAAGTGACACCTATTTATAAAAAGGGGCGAAACGATCTAGCTGGTAATTACAGACCTATTTCAGTTTTTCCTATACTGGGTAAAATCTTTGAGAAAATGATAAATAATCGTGTAATTGACTATTTCGGAGCAAATGATATCTTGTTTCAACACCAGTATGGTTCCCGTTAAAGAAACATAGCACAACACCATCATTAAATAATCTTGCAGATACATTATTGAAATACTTTGATGAAGGTAGAACAACAGTTGGCATCTTTATTGACATTCAAAAGGCATTTGATACTAATAACAACAGTATTCTCCTAAAAAAATGTCGACCTGTAGAATACGTGGGTTAGCTTTGCAATGGGTTGAAGATTTTTTTGTGTAAGCGATCACAGTCTATACAATATAAAGAAAACATTTCGGTGAAACTGAATATAACATAATTATGGTGTTCCTCAAGATTCCATTCTTGGACCAACATTTCTTTTACTGTATATAAATGACTTACTTAGATCCACAAACTGTTTACATTTAAGATTATTTGCTGATGACTCGAATCTATTTCATACTTTTAATACTCGACAAAAGGAAATTGATTTAGAAATTGTAAGTGAAAAATGAATGAAGGTCAGGAATGGTGTAATGCTAATGAAGTCACAATTAACCTACAGAAAACAAGCTATTATGATTATGAAATCCAAAGGTAAATCAATAGACAAAAAAGAATCTGTTCGAATATCAAGATCAGATATGAAAGAGATGCCCATTGCATCATTTGTAGGAGTTGAAATTGATTGTCACCGTTAATATTTGGACAATGAACAAATGCATACGGAAGAAAGTAGGCATTCTGTTTAAACTGAGACATTTTGTTCCAAAGAATATAGTCGTGTTATTATATAAGGCTTTGATAAAGCCCTACCTGTCTTATAAAATAGAAGTATGGGGAGCACTAACAAAGGTAATCTAAATTGTATATATTTAAGTCTAGAAATACTAATTATTTTTAAACTACGTGAACTTCTTGTATCAACATTTATTTATGATTTAGTAAAATGTATATTACCACACTCTTTAGTCGATTATTGTCAGATGATACCGCACAGATATGCAACAAAGAAAAAAGTAAGTGGCTTATTCTATCAAACAAAATGTAAGACACTGCAAGGACAATTTTGT